ATGGGGACCTTTTCCGCACAGGTGTTGCATTAAATAACTCCTTGTCGACCTTAAGCCGAAGACGTTTCTTCACAATTTCAGCAGGGGGGTATGGGCCTACTGATCTCGATCTCGGTCGGATTCGACTGAAACGGGAGTCGTAAGGGGATAGCAACATCCGTTTCTTGCCCGAGTGAATGGGCAGTGGGGTGATCTCAGGGGCTCCTAAGCCTTGTGAAGTGGCCATCGATTTCTTCATCAGCTTCTGACTTGGGTCTCTTGGCTGGAGTTATGAGAATGCTTGGGGTTGGCCAGGACTTTGTGATATCAAGTCGGGCTACTTGGTTTTGATAAAGAGGGGAGGGTGGTGTTCTGTTCCCAGAATCTTGTTCATCATCATCCTTTTCGATGAATTCTATTACTTTGTTTTTGAGAGACTCACTGACGGTCGTCGGGGTTTCTTCAGTGAGTGGTGAAACCACGGGGAGATGACAATCACTTTTCAGTGGGGTGAGCAGATGATCACCATCGTTCTCAGAGATGGTGGTTGTGTCAGTACTGTTGCCGAAAACCCAGTTGTTGGCGAATCCAAGTATCTTGAAAAAGGATTTTTCAGACACCATGCTGACGTTTGCTTTTTCATTGATACTGATGTTGTTTGAGGTTTCAAATCTACCGGGTAAACTTACACGTTTTTTGTTGCTATCGCGTTTATCCTCGGTTTTGACATCTGTATTCATTTCACACTGACTGAGTATCTTCTGTTTACTCTTTTTCGGACCATTTCCATCATCATCATCTTCCTCACTATCGTCTCCTATCGGTTTACTGTAGTTTGCACGGTTTCCTAAGGGTTTTCTACTGGTGACTCTGAGTCGTTGTGAGGTGTTAGAACTCGTGGAGTCAGACGAGCTTTGTTTGCCAGTATCATTACCTGAGGACTCGTCACCGTCCTGATTTGCGACTGATGTGGCTGTAGAGTTAAATGTATATCCTAAAACATGTATTTCTCTACATTGTACATGTCGTGTACTGAGTTTGCAGCCCACACTCCCGGAAGTAGCACAGGGAGTGTTGGTATAAGGTGTAGTAAATTTTGCAATATCTACCCGGGCTAGTGGCGGGACTGACACCGCGGGCCAGCCGGGTGGCGAGACTGCGGCTTCAGTCCGCTCAGACCGCTGCTTTTTGCATACCTCTGCAGTTATGCTGTTTTGACTCAGGGTGGGACACAAGAAATGGGACACAGAGTATAGGTTCTGGCAGAGAATTGACAAAAAGATGTAAGAACTGTGCGTGTCAGGAGTGAGAGGTTGCCTGTTCGAACCCGGTGTGGTGATTGTCCTAGTATTATGATACACATTGTTAGGGCTAGAGTTTAATAATTCAATATATTTCATAAAATAGACTATCCAAACTCTCCATCTCAATAATAAATCAGTTACTAATAGACTGCAGATAGTGAATCTAAAAATAAACACTAGTGTACGTGACCCCATATAAGGAATAACCTGAGTCACTTCCGGTGTGTGTCGGTAATAACTGTAGGGGGGTCGGTGTTCATTGCGAGTACTGTAGTGTTGTAGTTGTTCCTCTAGTCCTGCTTGCTTCCTTGACTTGTAGTCATCTTCTTGTTGAGCACTGGAATGGTAGGATGCCGAACGAGAATAGGAAATAGACAATTGTAATTCATCGGCACCACGACGGTAGTGCATATAAATTTTACAGTACTTAACTTGGGGAAAAGTAGCTGCAGCCTGCGCTTGTAGGTGTAGAGTTTCCAGAGGTAGAAAGGGATCCTTCAGAGAGTAGTTGGGAGGTTTTCCGCGAGAAAACCTCGGAGGGATCTTCATGGTTGGCATGAGCTCCATAAGGAGGTGACACGTGTCGAGGTTAGTGTTGAATATCGATCAGCGTGTAAAGTCAAACGAAACAAAAGCGCGTGTGTAATATAATTATATAACGTACAATATGAATGACATATGCTATAGTGACGTAACATATATAGTGCAAAGAATTAGTAACTTGCGAGATGTGATTTAGTAATAATCGACGTTAACATTTTGCAGTTTACAGTTGCACAATGTTGACGTCGATTGTTACTAACATTTATCTGAATTTAATACAAGTACATGTCACATATAAATTGGGTAGCTGAATGAAACTCGTGCCTCAAAATTTTCCGTTATTAGCATTGCAGTGTCCACGCCCTGTACTGCGTTAACGACCGAAATTTTCCCAATATGCAATTATTATTTTGCTTCTAAAATTCTCTGATAATTAATAATATATCGTGACATGTAATTGTAAGATAAAAAACCTCGCGCGCGCGGCGCTTACATCTGCACCTGAGAATCTCTCAGCAACGTGTGGCTGTCTGCGCGGCGGGCTGTGTATTGTGTATATAGCTGAATTTAAATTTAGATTTATTTGTAAATGTATAATAATATTAAATATGTATTGATTGTTTGTGGTAAATAAAATTTTTGTTTTACTCGTGCAAGTCCGAAATGAGCCGTGTGCTGCTTCTAGGAATTACATATGACAATGCATATCAGCACACTATTTGATTCACGATGTCAATCCTTCGCATCTCGCCGATCTGCATACGTGGTTGCGAGAAGCATTATTGGATGCGCGCGCGACCCAGTAGTGCATCGCGCTACAACAACACTGTTGGCTTTTTTAGAGACCTGATGAGTACCAAGCGGAAATCATGATTGCCATGTATGTAATATGTCTATAAATTCCTAGATTATGCACTAAGTTGGCGTTCTCCGACCAAAATTAAACGGGGAATCGTCTAAGCTTAAAATCACTTTTGAGGCACCTCGAAATTGAAAAAAAGCTTTTCACGTTATTATGTGCTTTTTATGGAGAAATAGGTCAATTGCAGTTTTAGTTTGTTATGTTATTCTCTTTCCAAAGTATTCCAAGTGATTTGTATAAATTCATATATTAACTCTGAATACATTGCAAAATAATATATCAATTCATTGTCACACGTTGTATGACCCGCCGCGCACGAAGTGCGCGGCTCCCCCTGTATCGTCGAAGACGATACAGGGGGGTCACCACGTGATACAATCAATTCATTCAAGCTTGAACGAAGTTACAGCTTGGCGCGCAATTTGGAATGTGCTTTTGGCGAAGATATAAACCGCACCTTAAAATAATTGTGAAGATTATCAATAATGTGAAAATCGAAATTAAATCATCATTAACAAATGTACACAAAAAAATCAAAATTTAATCGCGATCGTCCTCAGGTTCACATAGCGATGTGTATATAAACTTAACCGTACCCGTACGTGCTGCGTGACGCGCTTGTTTTACTGCAAGCGAGAGGGCTCTGGTTGAGGCAAGTCCTCAAATATAGTAAACAATGCGTGGCCTGGACTGACCCAGTGCGCTTTTTTACAGCACTTTGCTTATATTTTCTTGATACATGTTTCGTATCCCAATATCAGAGATAATATGCCTTCGGCGCAAAAAGTGGCATGCAACGTATGTCAATATTTTTCCACATAAAGCATATTACAAAAATTGCGCGCAAATTTCAGTAACTTCTTAGCTTTTAAACTACATGATTTGATATTTAATTTTTAATATTTCATATAACATAAATCTAATAACCAAATAATATTCACAGCAGAGAGCTGAAACCAGGTTTTCGATCAAACGCTGCCATTTTTAGTCAAACGTCGCCAACAGTCGCTTTCGTCCAATGAGCAGCGTTTGATCGTGAATTTGGTTTCAGCCCCCTCTGTGTATGTTGGATAGATCAGAATTTAATTATTAAAGATAAAACTGTGATAGTGTGTTGGTACATGTTACGTATCCCTTCGCTTCGCGCGCGAAAAGTGGTATGCAACGTATGTCAAAGTATAGTGTGATGTTAGCATTTTATTAATTGTTAATATTTGGGCTCTTACTAAATCGCTCGCCCAAAAATTTCACGTGACTTTGGTTATTTTGGTTTTGCAGCCGTACAAAACGGTTTACATAAACCCTAATTCCAACCATAACCCTAACCATAACCCCGAAGCTATCCATATTCTTAACCACAACCCTAACCCTAACCCGAACCCTAAATAATCGAATTCACGTTTTACTAGCCTGTCACGTGACCAAAACGGTTTTTTGCCCATAACTCTCCAGAGAAGCATTTTAACCCTACGTCATGGGGGGTGATTCGGAATCAGCGTCCAAAAATACACCGATCTAGATTATTTTCATGCCTAAAGGGCCTTTTCACAAGAATTTTCTTAAAGTTTGGGCGAGCGATTTAGTAGGAGCGTAATATTTGATAAGACCACATTTGGAATTAAATACTGTATAGCAATTGTGTTGACACACGCTGTAACCCCTTTTGATATTTTGGCAGAATCCAACGACACAGCTCTGTGGAATTAAGCATGTAATTCGTTAAGCTATGTTGATAATTTCTAGAAAGTATCAGAAGTTGTTCTTAGAATTAAAGGACGCAATTGCATTGAAAATATAATAAAGAAACATAACAATAATATTTGAATTTGGTTTCATCCTTATCTGGCGAAAAAGCCCTTCATTCCACTCGGAAGTTTGAATAGGTTTCTAAAATATTTATACTTAAATTTAAACTTATCATACTTAAATAAATAACAATGAATTTGATAGATACATTTTATTAAATAGTGAGATGATACTTTGTAGAGATGTGTGATTAATGTGACATCATAAATTTTACTTAACTTTACTTTATGTTGGGCTTCTTGGATTTTGCCAGAATTTTAATTTTATTTTAGTGTTATTTTAGAATTATGTCTAATATTAAATAGTGTTATTATATAATAATTGTCTATAATTTCCTTTATCAGATAAGTCTCTTGCTGCAACTTTTACAGGAATATGAAATATTTTGACTCTTATGTATGATATAACAGTACTAAAATTATAAAGCGCACCCAAAGTGTAATACACAATATGCATGTAACACTGTTACTGTACAATATTAACCTAATATCTTCCTTGTATTATTTAGATAATAGATATGCCTGTAGAACTTGGATATTGGTCTCTGAGAGGATTAGGAGAACCCTGCCGATTACTGCTGCGATACACTGAGACAGGTATGTTCCATGTAGTTTTATATTATGTACCGTATGTACATTACTTTTTTAATGAACATTAGCTTCTTTATAAAAGAAACGAAATGAAATAAAAGCAATAATTATGCTTTGTCAAGATGAAGAATCCACACTTCTAATCTAGTAATAGCTAGGTCAGGGCAGGGAGTCTTCCGAACATTTCTTGCCAACAAAACTTTAAAGTAGTGCCACACAAAAAATCTATTTTTAAGGGGCAGGGGTGAGGGGGGTCTTTGTGAAAATTCCTTTGAAATCGACCTTTTAGTAACTGTTATTTCAGAGTGGACAGATGCAGCAATACCACTATCCGAAGGGGATATGTGGTTTAAAGAGAAGAAACACAATCTCGGTCTTGACTTCCCAAATCTACCCTACATGCTGGATGGTGATGTGAAGCTCACTCAAACCTTGGCTATAATGAGGTATTTGGGCAGAAGATTTGGTCTATCCCCATCTGAGGCTGATATGGCTAAAGGCGATCTTCTTGAGCAGTATCTCATGGAAGTGCGCATAGGGCTTTCCATGGTTTGCTACAGCAGCGCTGATCAGTTTGAAGGAAAGAAGGCCGAATTTAATGGTAAACTAGCAGGTCGTGTTGAAGAGTTAGGAAAGTTTATTGGTGCTGGCCCATACGTTTTGGGAGAGGAGATCACATATGTTGATTTCTTGGCATTGGAGTTCATCGATCATGTTGCTGCGTTCTCTCCTGACCACTTTAAGGAAGGACCTTTAGTTGACTATGTCAACAGAATGAAAGATCTACCTGCACTGAAAAAGTTCTACGAAAGTGATGACTGTACCCACAAGTCTTATTCCATCAATTCTCCAATGGCACAGTGGCCTGGATGGCCCAAGAAGGAGTAAAGATATTTTATTACAGATTTGTATTTTAATGGTATGTAAGTGACCCACATATGCATGTGATACGGTCATTAAGTCAAAATTTATTATGTTTAGGTAATATATTATAACAATATTACAAAATTATTTACTTATTAGATAACATGTACAGTAAAACCCTGATTTACCGCACCCCGACTTATCGCGACCAATTCCTTCCCCCTAAGTGGGGCTTATATTATATTATATGTGAATGATGAAAACCCCCGATTTACTGCCAACCCCAATTGACTGCAGCTGCCAGCTGTTTCCTTTCCTACAAATTCCAGTGGTATATAAGGGTTTTACTGTATCATGGCATGGATGAAGATACTTATTATTGTTTTGTGGTTTTTCACAACGGCCATTTTACTTTTAGTTTGAATGATATTTTGGCAGAATCCAATGACACAGCTCTGTGGAATTAAGCATGTAATTCGTTAAGCTATGTTAATTATTTCTAGAAAGTATCAGAAGTTGTTCTTAGAATTGAAGGACGCAATTGCATTGAAAATATAAAGAAATATAGCAATAATATTTGAATTTAGTTTCATCCTTATCTGGCGAAAAAGCCCTTCATTCCACTCGTAAGTTTTAATTAATAGGTTTCTAAAATATTTATGCTTAAATATTTAACTTATATTTAAATTTATACTTAAATTTAAACTTATCATACTCAAATAAATTACAATGAATTTGATAGATACATTTTATTAAATAGTGAGATGATACTTTGTAGAGATGTGTGATAATGTGATATCATAATTTTACTTAACTTTACTTTATGTATGTAGGGCTTCTTGGATTTTGCCAGAATTTTAATGTTATTTAGGTGTTATTTTAGAATTATGTCTAATATTTTAGTGTTATTATATAATAATTGTCTATAGTTTCCTTTATCAGATAAGTCTCTTGCTTAAATTTTACAGGAATATGAAATATTTTGACTCTTGCATATTAACAGTACTAGAATTGAATATAAAATTATAAAGCTCACCAAAGTGTAATACACAATATGCATTTAACCCTATTACTAAACAATATTAACCTAATATCTTCTTGTATTATTTAGATAATAGATATGCCTGTAGAACTTGGATATTGGTCTCTGAGAGGATTAGGAGAACCCTGCCGATTACTACTGCGATACACTGAGACAGGTATGTACTATGTAGTTTTATATTATGTACATTCCTTTTTTATCGAACATTAGCTTCTTTATATAAAAGAAACAAAATGAAATAAAAGCAATAATTATGCCTTGTCAATAGATGAAGAATCCACACTTCTAATCTAGTAATAGCTATGTGATAGGTCAGGGCAGGGAGTCTTCCGAACATTTCTTGCCAACAAAACTTTAAAGTAGTGCCACACAAAAAATCTATTTTTAAGGGGCAGGGGTGAGGGGGGTCCTTGTGAAAATTCCTTTGAAATCGACCTTTTAGTAACTGTTATTTCAGAGTGGACGGATGCAGCAATACCACTATCCGAAGGGGATATGTGGTTCAAAGAGAAGAAACACAATCTCGGTCTTGACTTCCCAAATCTACCCTACATGCTGGATGGTGATGTGAAGCTCACTCAAACCTTGGCTATAATGAGGTATTTGGGCAGAAGATTTGGTCTATCCCCATCTGAGGCTGATATGGCTAAAGGCGATCTTCTTGAGCAGTATCTCATGGAAGTGCGCATAGGGCTTTCCATGGTTTGCTACAGCAGCGCTGATCAGTTTGAAGGAAAGAAGGCCGAATTCATTGGTAAACTAGCAGGTCGTGTTGAAGAGTTAGGAAAGTTTGTTGGTGCTGGCCCATACGTGCTGGGAGAGAAAATCACATATGTTGATTTCTTGGCGTTGGAGTTCCTTGACAATCTTGCTGCGTTCTCTCCTGACCACTTTAAGGAAGGACCTTTAGTTGACTATGTCAACAGAATGAAAGATCTACCTGCACTGAAGAAGTTCTACGAAAGTGATGACTGTACTCACAAGTCTTATTCCATCAATTCTCCAATGGCACAGTGGCCTGGATGGCCCAAGAAGGAGTAAAAATGTTGAGTGCATTATTATGGATTTAGATTCTAATGGCCCTATTTTATTAATCCACATAGGTATGCATTATGCATGTGATGCGGCCATCAAGTCGAAATTCATTAGGTTTAGTGTATTACAATTTAATATGCATGCACTGATTGTATATTATATTTACATAATATCATGATTTATTAGATTTAAAGATAATTTTGTCACAGGCCATTTTGTACAGTGGCCAAATTGATTTCCTATAATTATTTAGCAGAATCCAAGAAGCACTATGCAGTTCCACGATACACCTCATACGATGCAAGTTAAAAGTAAACAATCAGCAGTTTATTGAACTTTATCGTGGACAAGAATAAACACACAAGGGATTTTATTTATCCCGAAGTCTTCTTTGTTCTATACTATTGACGAAACTGCATCGGGCATCTTAGATCCTGCCAAAATGTTGAAATCATTATTTATTTAGTTTTCAATCAGATGTATTTAAACTATGTGTTATTAAATTTATTCTATAATAGAAAAATTGTGTTTTACTTATCCAATGTGATCGTACCTAAAGTAGAAAAATAACATTTAAAGATCTATTATTCAATTACTTTCTAAAGAGATCAAAAATTTAAAACAAAGCTACGTAAGCAGAAATCTGAAAAATAAATTTAAAATGCACTAAATTCATGTAATCCCACAGGTCATGGAACTGATATGGGTAATTGTTTTAGCTATAGCGATAATATACTCGATAGTCTCAACAATCCTCTTCTTATTCCCCACCATTATTCACTACAACCACGAAAATAAGCTCGATAATGTGACAATATCCGCCCACAGGGGTGGAGCAGGGGAGTTTATTGAGAACACTATGCCAGCATTTGATCACGCCGTTCAGCTTGGTGCCAACATGCTGGAGATTGATGTTCAGGAAACTAAAGACTCCGTTATAGTGGTATCTCATGATAATGACATGTACAGAGCAACTGGAAAGAAGGGTCTGATATCAGAGACCTTATACGCTGACCTACCTCCATACTCAAACCACTTGTTTTTGCAGTTCGACAGAGTCCAGTGCATCAGCAGTCAGACTGATTTCAGTTTTGTTAAGTTAGCCGATCTGTTTGAACACCACAAAGACGTTATAATTCATATAGACACTAAAGATGGCAAACCTTCGCTTATCAACACCGTCTCTGAGCTGGTTATAAAGCATGATAGATTTAGTAATACTGTGTGGGGTAATATGGCTGAAGCTAAGAACGACCTCAGCTACTCTGTTAACCCTGATATCACCTTGTTCATGTCTATACGAAAAGTTGCACTTACATATGCCATGTTTTATCTGGGACTCATAGGTTTCGTTCCCATGAAAGAGGCAGTTTTTGATATCCCCATGCCAAGTGCAATAGTAGACCAGTTTAGTGATGTGCTATCAAGAGGACAGAAGGTACTGGCTTACACCGCCCACTTTCTCATAATGAACAGGTTACTGTTCTGGCATCTTAGAAGACGTGGTGTTAAAGTGGTGGTGTTCGTGTTGAACCAGGAGAAGAACTTTGTGATTGCTGACAAGTACTGTGTGGATGGTATCATGACTGATTTCCCTAGTAGACTTGTTAAGTATCACAGTGATAACTGTAGTGAGAGTGGGGAGACTAGTCAGATATTGGGCAATGTTAGTTAAGATAACTAAGTTAAGAATTTGATATACGTACTGAAACTGTGTTACTGTGCAGTAATTTTGTATTTTAAGGTTCTATGTCAGCCAGAGAATCGTGAGACGGTTCATCTATCATCATAGTGATTGTTTTATTTCGAGGAATTTTGTGTAGCTCTAGATTTTAGGATTCCATGTACATTATGTTTGAAACTTGATTATTGAGATTGTTTATGATCGGTAGTTTTGTGATTTTTAAAACGTTTACATATTAATTAGTTAATTACTCTAATAAGTTTATTACTCTATTATTATTTAGTAACATGATATGTTGCCAGATTGTTCATGGTGTGTTGTTCTGTAGTTGGTTTATATTGTTTACAGTTTAGCTTTGATTTAGATGTAAGCTTGCGCTTGGTAATTAGATATCACGAAGTATTTTACATTCAAACACTGATTAGATTTATTTATTACTTAATTCTTACGCAAATCATGGCTGCCCCTCTAAATTGTTGTACACGAACAAGTAGATCATATATTTAGTACTACTACTATCGTCTATCACTTTAATAACTTATGGCACAAATGCCACTGCTATTTGGCACAAATGCCACTGCTATTTGGCTTATATCCTAAATAACATAACCCACCTCAGCTTGAAATGGACTACACAAACACGATAAACTACGACCTGCACCTCTCCCGTCTGCTAACCCGACAGGGCGCTAACCCGACCCTGACTTTGTTCCCAACCCTGACATGGTACCCATGGTTCAAGAACACGTCAAGATCCTGGTAGTCGGGGCAGGGGGCCTGGGCTGTGAGATCATCAAGTGTCTGGCCATGACTGGCTTCAGGGATGTCCATGTTATTGACATGGACACTATTGATCTGTCCAACTTGAACCGGCAGTTTCTGTTTACTCCGCAAGACATAGGGAAGCCTAAAGCTGAGGCAGCTGTTAGAGCGGTTATGGAGAGAATACCTGGGCTGAAATACACTGCTCATTACAATAAGATCCAGGACTTTGATGATGACTTTTATCTGAAGTTTAACATTGTTATCTGCGGGTTAGACTCTGTTTTCGCACGAAGATGGATAAACTCGACCCTAATGAACATAGCACTCCAAACAGACAACATCATTCCCTTCCTTGACGGAGGAACGGAGGCGTTTAAAGGTCACTGCCGGGTAGTTATCCCCACTAAAACAGCCTGTATAGAGTGTAACATGGACCTGTACCCACCTCAACAGAACTTCCCACTGTGTACTATAGCTAACACTCCCCGACTCCCCGAACACTGTGTGGAGTACGCTAAGATTGTGTTGTGGCCGAAGGAGCAGCCGTTTGGGCAGGGTGTGGTGGTGGACGGAGATAATCCTGATCATATAACCTGGTTGTATAAGACGGCTGTTGATCGGGCCAAGAGCTACAACATACCCGGTATGTATTATAGAATTCGTATGTTATTTAGTATACCTGAGCTGTGTATGTGTGTATTTCGCTAAATTGTTATGTTGAAGTATTATGATGGTCTCTGCTCTTTGCATTGCATGCATGATTATCACGTACGGGTAATAACCGCTGCTGAGCGGAGTATCTGTGTTTGTATCTTTAATAGCGTTGGATTGAACTATCTGCACTTGTGAGTTGCTGCCATCTTTGTTGATCTGGTAGTTGTTTCGATCAGATGCTAATAAATACTCGGGACATTCATTTTCTTCTGACATCGGAACAACCAGGTGTAAACTGGTGTACCAGGTGCTAATCAATACTAGTAATTTAATACCAGTTCGTGAAATAACGACGGCTTCTTTTTAGCGAATGATTTGCAAGGAGATCATATTTTGCAGTTCTATTAGATTACAAAATCCATTTCATGGCGAAAGTTAGAAACTAAATGAGGTCTGATCGTCATCTTCTAATACAGCGTTCGATGTCTGTGTGAAGGTGAAATGGTGACATCCTCTGGATCAGGCAGAGGTCGAGTGTTATCGGGTATACTTTTGTAAGTTTATAGTGGTTGTACAGCAATACTAAGGCAATGCCTTAGTATTGCTGTACAGTGTACAACCACTACAAAAGTTAGAAACATTCTTAAAGACATACATTGTTGCATAAATATTTACTAGATAAATTATCGATGGTTGCTAATGGTTGGTATGGTTACTGTATATAATGTTATGGCCTTGTTAGTTGTTACAATGTAAGTCATGATATCGAGGATTCGGGACATTCATTTTCTTCTGACATCGGAACAACCAGGTGTACAACTAGGTGTACAGAATACCAGAACAACCAGGTGTACAATGATATCAAATGATTTTTGCTAAAATGCTAAATGTAACCCCTTCTTTCACTTACACACATACCTTCTCACACACATAGATATAATATCAATGTGTGTATATATAACAGCTAATAACTAAATTATATACTGTCTAGTTTGAAGACACCGGGCAGCTTCTTATCATATACCAGTTACCACTGTAATTATGTGTATATATTATGTAGCGTAGTTATGTGGAACATACATTTCCGCAGCAGTACACTAAAATCTCCACAATGGCACACTAATTCATATCACATGTCGTTTGGTACCAGGAGTGTAAACCTTGTTTTCTGAGAGAGAGTTTCAAGTTACACTCTCTGCTTTGTAAAGTCACGTACGCAGCTTCTAGATGCTGCGTACGTGACTTTACAAAACAGAGAGTGTAATTATCTTCAGTTGTATTGGTTGCTGTGACGCTGAGTTGGGTGTGTTGGATTTCCACGTATTCTTACTGTGTTGCGTTGTAGAGTGTTACCTTTACTGAATTGGGTATTTGTTAAGCTTTTGTCTTTGAAAATACGTGTATAATGTACACACTATGTAACAGTGGTATGTGATATGTAACTCCAGCATTAGTTTTCAATCCGTTTATTGATTTACAAGTCTGTTAGAATTCTACACTGGAATCAAAACCAAGGGTAGATCTCAGCTCCACTAAAGAGTTGAATTCCTTCTGAAAATAATATGATACACTGGAATGTGTTGACCATGAATATGACAAGTTCTAAAATAATGTTGTGTTATGAAAAAATGTGTGCTCTGTGCTGTAATGATAGGATAGCCAATTCAGTGAATAGTTACCATACTTTAACTTATCAAACCAAAATTGTAAATTTAATGTCTTTTTTTTTCGTCGAGTTACAAATTTATTTGACTCAGAATCGTCACTGTATATCGTAACATGTTCAGCTCAGCATTCTTAGCTTGCTTAATATTTGATTGTGTATAACTCGTCTTCGTCAAATAAAATTTCATTTGATACCCATGCCAGTAGATGTTCATTCCAATATCCGATCAGATTATCTGAAATTCCCTCTTACCCTGGTCTTACTACACAAGGTTTTGTGCAGCTATTTGGCTAGCTAAATAAAGCTTTATTAATGAACCACCCCTCCATATCCAGGAGTCACATACCGCCTAACGCAAGGAGTAACAAAGCGGATAATACCAGCAGTAGCGTCCACCAACGCCACCATTGCAGCAGCGTGTGTCACTGAGTGCCTCAAGATTGCAACTTCCTCTTACAACTACCTGGACAACTACATGATGTTCAACAATGTTGACTCTATCTACACTTTTACTTTTGCGAGCGAACGGAAGGAAAACTGTCTGGCTTGTTCGAGGTGTTCTCATGATCTAGCATTCTTTGAGTCAGATAAACTCCAGGTGTTTTTAGATAAGATTGGGGAAGAGACTGAGTTTAATTTACAGAAACCAACTTTGACAACCATCTCCTCGTCTGGAGAAAACAGAACTTTGTACATGAGCAACCTAGCGTCCATGGAGGAGGCACTGAGACCAAACTTAGAGAAGACTTTTAAAGAGCTGGAGTTTGAAAGTGGGCAGGAGGTTGTTGTGACTGATCCTGGAGTCAAAATGCCGGTTCATTTTAAACTTCGCCTGACGTAGAACAATGGGGTTGACTTTACTCTTTACAGGTAATTATATTGGTTATTGGTCGGGACTCGGGAGTGACTTGCTCCTGATATTAATCTAGTTTGATTTGTTCTGGATATATAATGTAATGGGATATTTAACTGTAGGAGTTGTTGGGCTACTTTTGGATGTTATAGCAACAATTAACAGTTGCTGGGCTACTTTTGGGTGTTATAGCAACAATTAACAGTTGTTGGGCTACTTTTGGGTGTTATAGCAACAATTAACAGTTGCTGGGCTACTTTTGGGTGTTATAGCAACAATTAACAGTTGCTGGGCTACTTTTGGGTGTTATAGCAACAATTAACAGTTGCTGGGCTACTTTTGGGTGTTATAGCAACAATTAACAGTTGCTGGGCTACTTTTGGGTGTTATAGCAACAATTAACAGTTGCTGGGCTACTTTTGGGTGTTATAGCAACAATTAACAGTTGCTGGGCTACTTTTGGGTGTTATAGCAACAATTAACAGTTGCATTCGGGATCAATCTTAAAGGGTGTGTAATTTATGTATTTGTTACAAACTTTAGAATCTATTTAATGAGATATTTGATAAAATCAAGACAGTTATCAGTAATCACCAGTGGTGTAAAGTTACAATTTAATTTGTCCCTTTACTTCCGAAAGAATTGGCGAATAACCATATACATTTATGTACCAGATCGGATCTTTAATCTTTATTCATAATTTCATAAAGAATATTAAAATCCCTGCCCCTCTGATAATGTTCCGCAGCAGGGTCTGTGGGGCCGTTACACCACTGGTGATCTAATATATGCAATTTGTTATACAATGAATTTTTGATAGAATCAGAATTTCTCTGATTCCTTGACCTTTGTTGAATGTCGATTTCAAATAACCACATTTACTCTAGTAATTTCATAATCATATTATAATTGCCTTTCTTCCAGAATATAAAATATGTTACTCTAGAGCCAGGTGTTAAACAAACTGATATAATTTAGTAGGTTAGCGGAGATGTACCGAGCGTTGCAGATAGTGGGAAGCCGTGCCAGCCATGCTGCCATCTCCTACAACCACATTTACCTCAGCCAGACAGTCAGAAACGCTTCAACTTTACTTGGTATGCCGTTTGTTTTGTTTTTAATTTTATTTATGTAATATGATAGATATGGATTGTGGTGGGGAGGTGAGGCAAAACGTTAAAAATGAACATAATGCTTCTGAACAGAGTTGATGGGCCCAATATAAATAGGACAAATTACTTATCGAATCAGAAGTCCAAATTGCGCCTCAATAAAGGGTCTTCTTAAAAAAGTTGAAGGAAGACGCGTTAATATTTATCCAATACGCGCACGTACGAAAATAAATTGAATTGCATACACGGCTGCGCTGTCATGTTCAGAAGGGCGATTTCTGCGATTTTAATCAGATAGAGAGATATAATAGGATTACCCTAGGATTTAAAGCGCGTCCGAGATATCCCAGATTTTATCAATCCTTACGCCGATCCGGTTCCCCTAGGATACCCCCGATGAATTCCTATCGCCGAGCGGCGATAGGATGTGTAAGTTCCGAGAGCAGTGGCGTAACGTTGCCTGTTGGCGCCCCCCTGCCGAAAAAAGCGCCCCCCTGTTGGCGCCCCCTCCCCTTTTGGTGCCCCTCCCTAAAATTGAACAAATTAGGTGATTTTAAAGAATACGCCGGTAAAATCTCTAAAAAAGTGTGTATCTAGAGCAAAACGCGCAGTTTTGCTAGTACTTTAGTTAAGTTTTCGAAATTGTCCCACATTCAAACGACGATTTGGCGCCCTAAGATTTACCCCCCTAAGACGGCGCCCCCCTGCACAGCGGGGTCAGCAGGGCCTTTCGTTACGCCACTGTCCGAGAGGCGATAGGATTTGCTTTCGGACCCGATAGGAAATTAAAAACCTATCGGATCCGAGCGCTAATCCTAGCGGAGATAGGATTTAACAATTCCGAGTGCCGATAGGATCTGCTATCGGACCTGATAGGATACTCAAATCCTATAGGATCCGAGAGCAAATCCGAGAGGCGATAAAATTTCAAATATCAGGACCGATATAATTGGAAGACGACGCCTATCGCAAGAGAGAAACTCGCTGATATTTTCGATTATTTAAAAAAAAAGACATTGGGACAAAAGTAAAACCAATTTTATAGTCAGCAAAAGATAATAAAAATTTAGCAAATAGCAATATAAGATTGAGAATTGTATAAATCTTTGAGAATCAGGCAATAGTTTTACGTTTGCGGGCCTGCATCATGAATATAAATAATTTTGGTGTTATGCTTTATGTTGCAAGCACTTTAATCTCCTTTAGTAACACAATTGACAACGTCTGGTTTCGTCAAGCTGATTCTAATCTCTGACATCAGTTCCAGGGTTGTGGAAAGTTTAAAGGGCCTGAAACATAAACGAATAAAAATTAATAAATCACTTTGGTGTTCTTTAATCTTCTTTAGTAATCTTCTATAGTAACTTTGACCATAATTTACAACGTTTGGTTTCATCTAGCTGATTCTAATCTTTGATATCTTTGGGGGTTTCGGGAATAGCAACTCCAGTAGTATCAGGCAGGAAGAAAGAAGCCAAACACCCACAGAAAGCCAAACCGGCGAACAAAGCCAGGGGGACCCTCCTATCACTAACTCCGTACAGTAGACTTACATAGGGTCCGAGGAAACTGCCAACCCTGGCACTACTGGAACTCAAACACATTATCATGCCACGGTGAGAGGTCGGAGATAGTTCTCCTGTGTACAAATAGACCATGGCGAACGCCGCTGTCCCAGATACACTGCCGAGTAAACTGGCAACATGTTCCAGCGTCCAGGACTCTGAAAACTTCACGTCTAACATGGCTATGAAGTTAAATACAGCTATGCCTCCAAAAAGGAAGATTGTGGCTCGTTTTCTTCCAAGAAGTTTGCAAACAGGAATCGAGGAAACGTAGCCAATAGCTCCTCCTAGCGCACCAAAGAAGTAGCTGGTGTAAAGATTGCTCCCAATTTTGCTCCAACCAAAAGTGTACCCATATCCTATCATGGACACGAAGAACCAGCAAAGCATGGAGAGTAGAGCTCTTTTCAGCATAGCCGGATATCTCTTAAAATCACTGACTTGTTTGAAATAATTTTGCACCCTTTTCTCGTAGATTAGATTTACACCTTCAAAGGAGAAGCGGTTACCAGTAGCACGGAAAAAGGACAACAGACATTTTTTTGCTTCTTTTTCCTCACCTCGGACCAAATGAAACCTAGGGGATTCTGGAAGAGGATTCACGATAAACATGATAGTGCTAAACGCGCAAATTCCAGCTGCAGCAAGGTAAACATGCTGCCATTTGTCAACCAAGTACCCAAGTAGCACCAAAATAAGGTAGCTTATCGACCAGCCAGTGTTGTAGAACCCACTTGCTATGTTCCGGAGGTTTGTTGGGGCAAATTCAATGATCCAACAGTAAGTACCCGTGTAGCTGATCATCAGGCCAAACCCAGACATTATCCTAAATACGAGCAGGGCCTCGTAGTTGGGGGCAACAGCGCTTGCTGCAGTAGCCAGTGTGGTAATAGCACTTCCTAAAAGTGCTCCCTTTTTGCGACCTATCCTATCGAAGATTCCAGTTGAGCATAACAATCCAAAGATTCCACCAAAAAAATATACTCCAGATATTGTAGACAACTTCGCCTCGTTCTTGCAGTAGATATTCCAGTCCGTTGTGAAAGTCGTCTTTTTTGTGGCCCAATCAAAATCTATCCCAGCGATAAAGTCGTTGTCGCACATCGTCTGTTGAGAGAAGAAGGTTTCTTTGTCGGAAGCTGCTGCATAAAGAGAGGTGCATTTTTTCGAAGAGCATGTCCAGTCTTTATAGGGTATGTTTCCAGTTATCACAGTCATGTTAGTTACAGCGCCTGATTGGAAAACCGTACTGAGTGCGGCCCAGTAGATGAAAGCAACCCTAAAGTTCAGTCTTTTCACAGTTTTGTCGATGACATCTTCGATCGTGAAAAATTCTTCTTGAAGAGAATCTTTCGGCATCTCCTTGTCAGCGATTTGTTCAATTGAAGTCATTTTAAGATGTGAGTCAAACTATTAAAGAGGACTACAAAAGCTGTTCTCGTAAAGAAATGAGAGTTAATTAAGTCATCATCATCAATATTTACCGCCCCTAATATAGGGTTTCTACCACCTAAGAAGAATTTAGGTTAATTGTTCTCAATTGAATCAGCCACAGTTCATGCTGATAAATCTGGTGTCGAGGTGACTGGTCAGGTTAATTTAATCAGACGCCGAGAAGATAACCGACTTTAATTTATGATCAATATCTTCTGTGCTACTCGAACTTATCATAGCAGCAGATCTTTCGAAAATATTAGCTCAGTCTAGCTTCAACCACAATGTCCACAAGTATGAATCTTAACTGCCATAATCAATACCTTCAACCAGCAATTGATGCACACCTGATTTATTTCGATATTTGATTAGATAAAATCTTATCATGGATCGGAAAGATTGATTGAGGATATCATATCGGTCGAATTTATTTCAGTGATCGATAGCATATTGGATAGTATCGTGAGGTTCACCCTAAATTGGGGGGGGGGGGGGGGGGGGGGGGCGGGGAGGGGTTACTTAGCTTGCTGGTCTATTGCTCACTTCTCTTAGGGAGCAAAAGTGAAATAAATGCTCACGATCTTGAAGGGAATATCACGCTAGGTAAGGGGGGGGGGGGGGGGGGGGGGGCGGGCGCGGCATTTTTCCGAAGTGAGGGTCTTTTTTAGATTTGTGTATTTTCTCGTCCACTTGAACGTTCGGTCGACAAGGAAAATAATTGGGTACAAACTACAAAATGCTCCCAGGGGCGAAAAAAAGGTCTGATCTTTTAAACACATAATCAATTCTATGTTAATTTGGATTCTGAATGCTGTTTTTCAGTGAGCAGGGGATACGAACCTAACAATGTCACGGGGAGCACTATTTTGGCCAAGTTCGGTACTCCACGAAATCTCTCTGATGGAGGAAAAAAGAAAAAGGGAAGAAAAGGAAAGAAAGGCAAGAGTAGTTCTTCTGTACAAGAAGTCATGGACAAAGTAAAGACAGAGGCTGTGGAAGCGAAAGAAGTAGAAGTCGCAGAAGCCGCTGCAGCTGAAGCCGCCGCTGCCGAAGCCGCCGCTGCCGAAGCCGCCGCTGCCGAAGCCGCCGCTGCCGAAGCCGCCGCTGCCGAAGCCGCCGCTGCCGAAGCCGCCGCTGCCGAAGCCGCCGCTGCCGAAGCCGCTGCTGCCGAAGCCGCTGCTGCCGAAGCCGCTGCTGCCGAAGCTGCTGCTGCCGAAGCTGCAGCTCTCGAGGCTGCAGCTGCTGAAGCCGCAGCTGCCGAAGCCGCAGCTGCCGAAGCCGCTGCTGCCGAAGCTGCTGCTGCCGAAGCCGCTGCTGCCGAAGCTGCTGCTGCCGAAGCTGCTGCTGCCGAAGCCGCTGCTGCCGAAGCTGCTGCTGCCGAAGCTGCTGCTGCCGAAGCCGCTGCTGCCGAAGCTGCTGCTGCCGAAGCCGCTGCTGCCGAAGCCGCTGCTGCCGAAGCTGCTGCTGCCGAAGCCGCTGCTGCCGAAGCTGCTGCTGCCGAAGCTGCTGCTGCCGAAGCTGCTGCTGCCGAAGCTGCTGCTGCCGAAGCTGCTGCTGCCGAAGCTGCTGCTGCCGAAGCTGCTGCTGCCGAAGCTGCTGCTGCCGAAGCTGCTGCTGCCGAAGCTGCTGCTGCCGAAGCTGCTGCTCTCGAGGCCGCTGCTGCCGAAGCTGCTGCTGCCGAAGCCGCTGCTGCCGAAGCCGCAGCTGCCGAAGCTGCTGCTGCTGAAGCTGCAGCTCTCGAGGCCGCTGCTGCCGAAGCTGCTGCTGCCGAAGCTGCAGCTCTCGAGGCCGCTGCTGCCGAAGCTGCTGCTGCCGAAGCTGCAGCTCTCGAGGCTGCTGCTGCCGAAGCCGCTGCTGCCGAAGCCGCTGCTGCTGAAGCCGCTGCTGCCGAAGCCGCTGCTGCCGAAGCCGCTGCTGCTGAAGCTGCTGCTGCTGAAGCCGCTGCTGCCGAAGCCGCTGCTGCTGAAGCTGCTGCTGCTGAAGCCGCTGCTGCCGAAGCTGCTGCTGCTGCCGAAGCTGCTGCTGCCGAAGCTGCTGCTGCCGAAGCTGCTGCTGCCGAAGCTGCTGTTGCCGAAGCCGCTGCTGCCGAAGCTGCAGCTCTTGAGGCTGCTGCTGCCGAAGCTGCTGCTACTGAAGCTGCTGCTGCCGAAGCCGCTGCTGCTGAAGCCGCTGCTGCCGAAGCTGCTGCTGTTGAAGCTGCTGCTGCCGAAGCTGCTGCTGTTGAAGCTGCTGCTGCTGCTGAAGCTGCTGCTGCCGAGGCCGCTGCTGCCGAAGCTGCTGCTGTTGAAGCTGCTGCTGTTGAAGCTGCTGCTGCCGAAGCCGCTGCTGCCGAAGCCGTTGCTCTCGAGGCCGCTGCTGCTGAAGCTGCTGCTGCCGAAGCTGCAGCTCTTGAGGCTGCTGCTGCCGAAGCCGCTGCTGCAGAAGCTGCTGCTGCCGAAACTGCTGCTGCTACCGAAGCTGCTGCTGTTGAAGCTGCTGCTGCCGAAGCTGCTGCTGTTGAAGCTGCTGCTGTTGAAGCTGCTGCCGAAGCTGCTGCTGAGGCTGCCGCTGCTACAGAGGTAGCAGCTGCTGAGGCTGCTGCTGTTGTCGAGGCTGCTGAAGCTGCCGAACCCGAGGCTGCTGCTGAAGTTGCCGAACCTGAGGCCGCTGCCGAAGTCGCCAGCGTAGACCCCGTCAAGGATGCGTTTATCGAATTACTTAAAGAATTCACCACTGAGGCGGCGAGCGCGGAGTCTTTACCAGGTACTCATTTCCCGTCAAATAATGCAACTCTTATGTAGCTGTAATAACATTATTATTTCAATTCATCCGATATATAGTATTGATCACGATAAATTATATTTATTCGAGATTGATCAGTTTTTAACCAAATTCTATCACAGGATTGACACCAGAGATATTAGCCGCTCACCAAACCGAGCTGGATAGGATTAAGAAAATGTACGGAGGGGCAGATGACATAGAATCCTTCCCTACCTTCAAGTTTTAGAGTGATACCATCGAGTTTAATCATCGAAGATGATAATTTTGATTAATTTATTCAACGTACCCCGAGGGTTGCTACCATTGGACAGCTGTTTACGCTCCATGCTGAACTTGACTGTAATCATGTCACGAATATTTTGGGTTCATATATTTTTGAACTTTTAATTCAATGTTAAGGATGATCTTGAAGGGCTTGAATAATCGCTTGTAGTGGAATGAAAGCATAAAATCTGTGCGACACCGCATATGGAAATTGATTTTGCTATGTTTTGTGTTTGAAATGTAGCCTAATCTGAGGCTTGTCTAAAATTATTGTTTGTCAAGTCTTTTTAGTTTCAGTGAAACTTTTGATAAGAGCTGATACGTCCTATGATAGCGTGAATCGTTCAGTTTGATAATACATATATTGATCCTAGGAGGCAGAAGCTTTGGCTTATCACGTGAATCCTTATCCAGACATTTGGTATTAAAATGTTAATTATTATACCAATTCTTCTCTATGAGTTTTATCATTTACTTTGATATTTTATACACATTGGCGGTTTTTATTTTCCTTTGCTGACTGAGGAATCATCGGACCACTACCGGATCCAAATCATGTAACTTATCAAAAAGGTCAAACAATTTTCATTTTAAAAATGTAACATCACAAAATATCTGAAATTCCTAAACGTTTTCGAAATCCAACATGATGATTTCAGGATTGACTTCACATTTAAGCATTTGGTTTTCTTAAAGTTAAAACCCTCAAGACTAATTGCATCGTAAAATTATTTAATTCCTAGACTTAGAGCGAGATAAGGCTTCAGATTTTGAAACGTTGGATTTCGATCATGTTACCTTTAAAGTTAAAGTGTGAATAAATATAAACAGCTCTTAAACTTTCCACATTACAGACTCTAACTGTGATGAAGATGTACATAACTAGATGATACCGAGCTAATAAGTGAAACCGATCGCTAATACTATAATATATACTATAATAGTCGTGCGCGGGGGGGGGGGGGGGGTCTACTTACCTGTACAGTGTACAGGTAAGTAGATCACCTCCCCCGCACTGGTACGGTAACGACTATTAGCTCAGACCGACCTTCAAGTTACATCTTCATGACAGTTACATTTGGAAACTTAAACTGTAATACAATAATCAATGTTCCTATGACCTTCATAATCATTATGACACAGAAAATTTTTTTCACGATTGATAATGATTATACCACTTTTACATTCATCATTTGTAGCAAGATTAGGCGGTTCATGACGAATCATGGTAAGTAGATCACCTCCCCCGCACTGGTACGGTAACGACTATTAGCTCAGACCGACCTTCAAGTTACATCTTCATGACAGTTACATTTGGAAACTTAAACTGTAATACAATAATCAATGTTCCTATGACCTTCATAATCATTATGACACAGAAATTTTTTTTCACGATTGATAATGATTATACCACTTTTACATTCATCATTTGTAGCAAGATTAGGCGGTTCATGACGAATCAAATCATGCCAATCTGCCAATCGTCAGTATGCTGAACGAAAAATGAAATCCTCTTGATCTTATGGACTTTGATAAAGATCTACACAACTATATCATGATCTATTATAACTATAAGGTACGTACGACTTGAAATTCCAAGTATTTTATTTGTAATTCAATGTCCAATATTTTGGGGGTTTTACTTTCAGATTGCCGTTTTAACTTTGGCTTATAAAATAAAAATAATATACATCGATTCAAGTTGGTTTCAACTTACAATTGTCGGGGGCCCATTTAGAAAATATTTGAACTTCGAGTGTAGAGTGATTAATTAGCACGCTCGTTTAACATAATATATGAATGACCCCTAATTTAAAGCCAAAGGCCCTCCACATGACACCGGCCACGGTCCAGTCCACCAAATTTTGAGTCTTGGTTAAAATGATCTTATCAGCGTCTCATTCAGTTAACCCAGCCACCTCGGGGTTAAAAATGTTACAAGAATCCACAGAGTTTCGGTAATTACTCTAAAAATTGGAGATTTAATTTTATCAGCAGGAACTGTTGATGAACTTGAAGTTAAATTACCTGGGCCTGGGTGAGGAGTCCCCACTGGGGACCCTAGGTTATTAGTATTATGTACATAAAATAGAGATTCGGTGGAATGTCAGGCTGAGCGCCAGGCCCAGTAAATTTTAAAGTTTAAACTGTTGTTGATTCGATCAGGAACAGTAGTAACCTAAACCTGAATTATTCTTAGGTGGATCCGGGATTTCCTCTTATCATTTAGGTAAATACCGATATCACCTCATGTTCACTTCATTTTTTTACGAGAACAGCTTTTTTAGTTCTCTTTAATCGTTTGACTCACATCTTAAAATGACTTCAGTCGAACCCATCACTGGAAAGGAGAAGCCGAAAGATTCTCTTCAAGAAGAATTTTTAACTATCGAAGATGTTATCGACAAAACTGTGAAAAGACTGAACTTTAGGCTTGCTTTCATCTACTGGGTCGCACTCAGTACGGTTTTCAACGCAGGTGTTGTAACCAACATGACAGTGATGACTGGAAACATACCCTATAAAGACTGGACATGCTCTTCGAAAAAATGCACCTCTCTATATGCAGCAGCTTCCGACAAAGAAAACTTCTTCACTGAACGGACAATGTGCGACAATGACTTTATCGCTGGAATAGATTTTGATTGGGCCACAAAAAAGACGACTTTCACAACGGACTGGAATATCTACTGCAAGAACGAGGCGAAGTTGTCTACAATATCTGGAGTATATTTTTTTGGCGGAATCTTTGGATTGTTATGCTCAACTGGAATCTTCGATAGGATAGGTCGCAAGAAAGGAGCACTTTTAGGAAGTGCTATTACCACACTGGCTACTGCAGCAAGCGCTGTTGCCCCCAACTACGAGGCCCTGCTAGTATTTAGGATAATGTCTGGGTTTGGCCTGATGATCAGCTACACGGGTACTTACTGTTGGATCATTGAATTTGCCCCAACAAACCTCCGGAACATAGCTAGTGGTTTCTACAACACTGGCTGGTCGATAAGCTACCTCATTTTGGTGCTACTTGGGTACTTGATTGACAAATGGCAGCATGTTTACCTTGCTGCAGCTGGAATTTGCGCGTTCAGCACTATCATGTTTATCGTGAATCCTCTTCCAGAATCCCCTAGGTTTCATTTGGTCCGAGGTGAGGAAAAAGAAGCGAAAAAATGTCTGTTGTCGTTTTTCCGTGCTACTGGTAACCGCTTCTCCTTTGAAGGTGTAAATCTAATTTACGAGAAAAGGGTGCAAAATTATTTCAAACAGGTCAGTGATTTTAAGAGATATCCGGCTATGCTAAAAAGAGCTCTACTCTCCATGCTTTGCTGGTTCTTCGTGTCCATGATAGGATATGGGTACACTTTTGGTTGGAGCAAAATTGGGAGCAATCTTTACACCAGCTACTTCTTTGGTGCGCTAGGAGGAGCTATTGGCTACGTTTCCTCGATTCCTGTTTGCAAACTTCTTGGAAGAAAACGAGCCACAATCTTCCTTTTCGGAGGCATAGCTGTATTTAACTTCATAGCCATGTTAGACGTGAAGTTTTCGGAGTCCTGGACGCTGGAACATGTTGCCAGTTTACTCGGCAGTGTATCTGGGACAGCGGCGTTTGCCATGGTCTATTTGTACACAGGAGAACTATCTCCGACCTCTCACCGTGGCATGATAATGTGTTTGAGTTCCAGTAGTGCCAGAGTCGGCAGTTTCCTCGGACCCTACGTAAGTCTACTGTACGGAGTTACTGATAGGAGGGTCCCCCTGGCTTTGTTCGCCGGTTTGGCTTTCTGTGGGTGTTTGGCTTCTTTCTTCCTGCCTGATACTACTGGAGTTGCTATTCCAGAAACCCCCAAAGATGTCAAAGATTAGAATTAGCTCGATGAAACCGAACGTTGTAAATTATGTTACTAAAGAAGATTAAAGTGTTTGCATAACACCACAATGATTTATATTCATGATGCAGGCCCGCAAACGTAAAACTATTGCCTGATTCTCAAAGATTTATACAATTCTCAATATTATATTGCTATTTGCTAAATTTTGATTATCTTTTGCTGACTATAAATTGTCCCAATGTATTTTTTTAAATAATCGAAAATATCAGCGAGTTTCTCTCTTGTGATTTCCTATGTGACTTGAAAAGTAACAGTGTCTACCTTAAAAGGATTGACATTTCGTATTATATAGTAAATTCGCCATGGTCCATCCATTCACCCAAAAAAACTACGTTCTCTAGCTTAGATTTATTAAATTATGACTAGCTTATGAATCCACATAATCAATTCTATGTTAATTTGGATTCTGAATGCCTGTTTTTCAGTGAGCAGGGGATACGAACCTAACAATGTCACGGGGAGCACTATTTTGGCCAAGTTCGGTACTCCACGAAATCTCTCTGATGGAGGAAAAAAGAAAAAGGGAAGAAAAGGAAAGAAAGGCAAGAGTAGTTCTTCTGTACAAGAAGTCATGGACAAAGTAAAGACAGAGGCTGTGGAAGCAAAAGAAGTAGAAGTCGCAGAAGCCGCTGCAGCTGAAGCCGCCGCTGCCGAAGCTGCCGCTGCCGAAGCCGCTGCTGCCGAAGCCGCTGCTGCCGAAGCCGCTGCTGCCGAAGCCGCTGCTGCCGAAACCGCTGCTGCCGAAGCCGCTGCTGCCGAAGCCGCTGCTGCCGAAGCCGCTGCTGCCGAAGCCGCTGCTGCCGAAGCCGCTGCTGCCGAAGCCGCTGCTGCCGAAGCCGCTGCTGCCGAAGCCGCTGCTGCCGAAGCCGCTGCTGCCGAAGCCGCTGCTGCCGAAGCCGCTGCTCTCGAGGCCGCTGCTTTCGAGGCTGCTGCTGCTGAAGCCGCTGCTGCCGAAGCTGCAGCTCTCGAGGCTGCTGCTGCCGAAGCTGCTGCTGCCGAAGCTGCTGCTGCCGAAGCTGCTGCTGCCGAAGCCGCTGCTGCCGAAGCCGCTGCTGCCGAAGCTGCTGCTGCCGAAGCTGCTGCTGCCGAAGCTGCTGCTGCCGAAGCCGCTGCTGCCGAAGCCGCTGCTGCCGAAGCCGCTGCTGCCGAAGCCGCTGCTGCCGAAGCCGCTGCTGCCGAAGCCGCAGCTGCCGCAGCTGCCGAAGCCGCTGCTGCCGAAGCTGCTGCTGCCGAAGCTGCTGCTGCCGAAGCCGCTGCTGCCGAAGCTGCTGCTCTCGAGGCCGCTGCTGCCGAAGCTGCAGCTCTCGAGGCCACTGCTGCCGAAGCTGCAGCTCTCGAGGCTGCTGCTGCTGAAGCCGCAGCTGCCGAAGCTGCAGCTCTCGAGGCTGCTGCTGCCGAAGCTGCTGCTTCCGAAGCCGCTGCTGCTGAAGCCGCTGCTGCCGAAGCCGCTGCTGCTGAAGCCGCTGCTGCCGAAGCTGCTGCTGCCGAAGCTGCTGCTGCTGAAGCCGCTGCTGCCGAAGCTGCTGCTGCTGAAGCCGCTGCTGCCGAAGCTGCTGCTGCTGAAGCCGCTGCTGCTGAAGCCGCTGCTGCCGAAGCTGCTGCTGCTGAAGCCGCTGCTGCCGAAGCTGCTGCTGCTGAAGCCGCTGCTGCCGAAGCTGCTGCTGCTGAAGCTGCTGCTGCTGAAGCCGCTGCTGCCGAAGCTGCTGCTGCCGAGGCTGCTGCTGCCGAAGCTGCTGCTGCCGAAGCTGCTGCTGCCGAAGCTGCTGCTGCCGAAGCTGCTGCTGCCGAAGCTGCTGCTGCCGAAGCTGCTGCTGCCGAAGCTGCTGCTGCCGAAGCTGCTGCTGCCGAAGCTGCTGCTGCCGAAGCTGCTGCTGCCGAAGCTGCTGCTGCCGAAGCTGCTGCTGTTGAAGCTGCTGCTGCCGAGGCTGCTGCTGTTGAAGCTGCTGCTGCCGAGGCTGCTGCTGTTGAAGCCGCTGCTGCCGAAGCTGCAGCTCTCGAGGTTGCTGCTGCCGAAGCCGCTGCTGCCGAAGCTGCTGCTGCCGAAGCTGCTGCCGAAGCCGCTGCTATCGAGGCCGCTGCTCTCGAGGCCGCTGCTGCTGAAGCTGCCGAACCCGAGGCTGCTGCTGAAGTTGCCGAACCTGAGGCCGCTGCCGAACCTGAGGCCACTGCCGAACCTGAGGCCGCTGCCGAACCTGAGGCCGCTGCCGAACCTGAGGCCGCTGCCGAAGTCGCCAGCGTAGACCCCGTCAAGGATGCGTTTATCGAATTACTTAAAGAATTCACCACTGAGGCGGCGAGCGCGGAGTCTTTACCAGGTACTCATTCCCCGTCAAATAATGCAACTCTTATGTAGCTGTAATAACATTCTTATTTCAATTCATCCGATAATATTGATCACGATAAATTATACTTATTCTAGATTGATCAGTTTTTAACCAAATTCTATCACAGGATTGACACCAGAGATATTAGCCGCTCACCAAACCGAGCTGGATAGGATCAAGAAAATGTACGGAGGGGCAGATGACATAGAATCCTTCCCTACCTTCAAGTTTTAGAGTGATACCATCGAGTTTAATCATCGAAGATGATAATTTTGATTAATTTATTCAACGTACCCCGAGGGTTGCTACCATTGACAGCTGTTTACGCTCCATGCTGAACTTTAATCATGTCACGAATATTTTGGGTTCATATATTTTTGAACTTTTAATTCAATGTTAAGGATGATCTTGAAGGGCTTGAATAATCGCTTGTAGTGGAATGAAAGCATAAAATCTGTGCGACACCGCATATGGAAATTGATTTTGCTATGTTTTGTGTTTGAAATGTAGCCTAATCTGAGGCTTGTCTAAAATTATTGTTTGTCAAGTCTTTTTAGTTTCAGTGAAACTTTTGATAAGAGCTGATACGTCCTATGATAGCGTGAATCGTTCAGTTTGATAATACATATATTGATCCTAGGAGGCAGAAGCTTTGGCTTATCACGTGAATCCTTATCCAGACATTTGGTATTAAAATGTTAATTATTATACCAATTCTTCTCTATGAGTTTTATCATTTACTTTGATATTTTATACACATTGGCGGTTTTTATTTTCCTTTGCTGACTGAGGAATCATCGGACCACTACCGGATCCAAATCATGTAACTTATCAAAAAGGTCAAACAATTTTCATTTTAAAAATGTAACATCACAAAATATCTGAAATTCCTAAACGTTTTCGAAATCCAACATGATGATTTCAGGATTGACTTCACATTTAAGCATTTGGTTTTCTTAAAACCCTCAAGACTAATTGCATCGTAAAATTATTTAATTCCTAGACTTAGAGCGAGATAAGGCTTCAGATTTTGAAACGTTGGATTTCGATCATGTTACCTTTAAAGTTAAAGTGTGAATAAATATAAACAGCTCTTAAACTTTCCACATTACAGACTCTAACTGTGATGAAGATGTACATAACTAGATGATACCGAGCTAATAAGTGAAACCGATCGCTAATACTATAATATAGCTTCAAGTTACATCTTCATGACAGTTACATTTGGAAACTTAAACTGTAATACAATAATCAATGTTCCTATGACCTTCATAATCATTATGACACAGAAAATTTTTTTCACGATTGATAATGATTATACCACTTTTACATTCATCATTTGTAGCAAGATTAGGCGGTTCATGACGAATCAAATCATGCCAATCTGCCAATCGTCAGTATGCTGAACGAAAAATGAAATCCTCTTGATCTTATGGACTTTGATAAAGATCTACACAACTATATCATGATCTATTATAACTATAAGGTACGTACGACTTGAAATTCCAAGTATTTTATTTGTATTTTATTTGTAATATTTTGGGGGTTTTACTTTCAGATTGCCGTTTTAACTTTGGCTTATAAAATAAAAATAATATACATCGATTCAAGTTGGTTTCAACTTGCAATTGTCGGGGGCCCATTTAGAAAATATTTGAACTTCGAGTGTAGAGTGATTAATTAGCACGCTCGTTTAACATAATATATGAATGACCCCTAATTTAAAGCCAAAGGCCCTCCACATGACACCGGCCACGGTCCAGTCCACCAAATTTTGAGTCTTGGTTAAAATGATCTTATCAGCGTCTCATTCAGTTAACCCAGCCACCTCGGGGTTAAAAATGTTACAAGAATCCACAGAGTTTCGGTAATTACTCTAAAAATTGGAGATTTAATTTTATCAGCAGGAACTGTTGATGAACTTAAAGTTAAATTACCTGGGCCTGGGTGAGCGGTCCCCACTGGGGACCCTAGGTTATTAGTATTATGTACATAAAATAGAGATTCGGTGGAATGTCAGGCTGAGCGCCAGGCCCAGTAAATTTTAAAGTTTAAACTGTTGTTGATTCGATCAGGAACAGTAGTAACCTAAACCTGAATTATTCTTAGGTGGATCCGGGATTTCCTCTTATCATTTAGGTCTGTAAATACCGATATCACCTCATGTTCACTTCATTTTTTTACGAGAACAGCTTTTTTAGTTCTCTTTAATCGTTTGACTCACATCTTAAAATGACTTCAGTCGAACCCATCACTGGAAAGGAGAAGCCGAAAGATTCTCTTCAAGAAGAATTTTTAACTATCGAAGATGTTATCGACAAAACTGTGAAAAGACTGAACTTTAGGCTTGCTTTCATCTACTGGGTCGCACTCAGTACGGTTTTCAACGCAGGTGTTGTAACCAACATGACAGTGATGACTGGAAACATACCCTATAAAGACTGGACATGCTCTTCGAAAAAATGCACCTCTCTATATGCAGCAGCTTCCGACAAAGAAAACTTCTTCACTGAACGGACAATGTGCGACAATGACTTTATCGCTGGAATAGATTTTGATTGGGCCACAAAAAAGACGACTTTCACAACGGACTGGAATATCTACTGCAAGAACGAGGCGAAGTTGTCTACAATATCTGGAGTATATTTTTTTGGTGGAATCTTTGGATTGTTATGCTCAACTGGAATCTTCGATAGGATAGGTCGCAAGAAAGGAGCACTTTTAGGAAGTGCTATTACCACACTGGCTACTGCAGCAAGCGCTGTTGCCCCCAACTACGAGGCTCTGCTCGTATTTAGGATAATGTCTGGGTTTGGCCTGATGATCAACTACACGGGAAGTTACTGTTGGATCATTGAATTTGCCCCCACAAACCTCCGGAACATAGCAAGTGGGTTCTACCCCATGGGTTGGTCTATAAGCTCTCTTATGTTGGCGCTTCTTGGGTACTTGATTGACAAATGGCAGCATGTTTACCTAGCTGCCGCTGGAATTTGCGCGTTCTGCACTATCATGTTTATCGTGAATCCTCTTCCAGAATCCCCTAGGTTTCATTTGGTCCGAGGTGAGGAAAAAGAAGCTAAAAAATGTCTGTTGTCCTTTTTCCAGGCTACTGGTAACCGCTTCTCCTTTGAAGGTGTAAATCTAATTTACGAGAAAAGGGTGCAAAATTATTTCAAACAGGTCAGTGATTTTAAGAGATATCCAGCCATGCTAAAAAGGACTCTTCTCTGTATGCTCTGCTGGTTCTTCGTCTCAATCATAGGATTTGCATACACTTTTGGTTGGAGCAAAATTGGGAGCAATCTTTACACCAGCTACTTACTTGGTGCGCTAGGAGGATCTATTGGGAACGTTTCTTCGATACCTGCTTGCAAACTTCTTGGAAGAAAAGGAGCTACAATCTTCTTTTTCGGAGGCATAGCTGTATTCAACTTCATAGCCATGGTACACGTACAGTTTTCAGAGTCCTGGACGCTGGAATATGTTGCCAGTTTACTCGGCAGTATATCTGGATCAGCGGCGTTCGCCATGGTCTATTTGTACACAGGAGAACTATCTCCGACCTCTCACCGTGGCATGATAATGTGTTTGAGTTCCAGTAGTGCCAGGGTCGGCAGTTTCCTCGGACCCTATGTAAGTCTACTGTACGGAGTTAGTGATAGGAGGGTCCCCCTGGCTTTGTTTGCTGGTTTGGCTTTCTGTGGGTGTTTGGCTTCTTTCTTCCTGCCTGATACTACTGGAGTTGCTATTCCCGAAACCCCCAAAGATGTCAAAGATTAGAATTTGCTGGATGAAACCAAACGTTGTAAATTATGTTCAAAGTTACTAAAGAAGATTAAAGAAGACCAAAATCATTTTGGCAAGATTATTTATTGATTTTTATTCATTTATGTTGCAGGCCCTTTAAACGTTTCCACAACCTTAAAACTGTAACTTGACCCTCAAAGATTTAATTTTATACAATTCTCTATCAAAATATTCGCTAAGTATTGATTATCTTTTTGCTGACTATAAGACTGGTTTTACTTTTGTCTTTTTTTATAATCGTAAATAACAGCGAGTTTCTCTCTTGCGATTTCCTATGTGACTTGAAAAGTAACAGTGTCTACCTTAAAGTTAAAAGGATTGACTTTTCGTATATAATAAATCCGCCATGGTCCATCCATTCACCCATAAAACTATGTTATAGCTTAGATTTAATAAATTATGACTAGCATATGAATCCACATCATGAAATGTATCATGTATGTTAATTTGAATTGTAAATGCTATTTTTCAGTAAGCAGGAGATACGAACCTAACAATGTCACGGGGAGCACTATTTTGGCCAAGTTCGGTATTCCACGAAATCTTTATCTATCACCAAGAATGTAATTTTATTAGGAATGTTTTGAAAGCAATAAAAGAAGTTCTGGAGAACCCGGGCATTGATCCCGGTACCTCTCACATGCTAAGCGAGCGCTCTACCATTTGAGCTAGTCCCCCGATACAGTTTCGAGAAATCACTTGGTAAAAATCAAATTAATAGAAGTCTCTTAATTGCAAAAAAAAGTCTCCACGGAATATAATTTGGATTTTATTAATATGTAAACATTCCCAATCATATTTGAATTATGACATTTGATTACCTTTCACTAATGATTATGAAGCTGCCGATCCCGACGCCAGATACATTACGGCTTACATTCACATATTTGTAGCAAGATTAGGCGGTTCATGACGAATCAAATCATGACAATCATCTGCACGAAAAATGAAATCTTCGTGATATTATGGACTTTGATACATGATACAGATCTGCACAAATATTAGGTACGTACGACTGGAAATTCCAAGTATTTTATTTGTAATTTAATGTCCAATATTTTGGGGGTTTTAACATTTAAATTGTCGTAATATCAACTTCAATTTCAAGTAATTACCCAACAACATTTAATTTTAATAAAGTTTATAGCGTTAGTACTAATTTCAACGCTAATATTTATCAAATAATTAGAGTTCGTGTATTGAGCTAAAGAATATACCATGTACCCAATGCGAAGGGGCGTCAACACGAAACAAACGTCGAATAAGTTAGTCAGTATAAGACTCCGCCAAAACTAAAATGTAAAAGCAGGGTGCGATTACTATTAGATTTCGATTGTAGGTTTATATTTATAATTATAACCAACCAGGACTTGTAGGTTTATAACCTACCAGGACGCGCACCGAATTGGACTCGTCGACGGTATTATACGAAACAAATATTTTAAGCGAGTATCCCCCGTTAAGATTTCGACGTCTTCGCGTATAACCTACATTAACATACTATGCTACAAGACTAGCCATATATAACGCTGCTCAAGTTGCCCGGGTATGGCAGATGGCTGTTGATTTTAAAAGCATTACAAATTTTTAAAATATTTTAGGCTCATATTATGATCATGGAATTGGAACTGGATGCATATAGCGAAGATAAAAGTGGTTCCCAGGAAAAAAATTTAAAAACGTTGAACTTCGAAAATTGAAGTCATTCTCCATACTATTCTGTAATCTGTATAGTTATACGTATCTCTGAAGGCAGGCTCCCTGGGCCGGGGTCCTGCTACATGCAATTTTTGATCGCGTGCCCTGAGAATCGTTTTTTGATGGTTTTTCGAGGTCTAAGATTTTTCAAAATCGAATAAAATATTTTTAAAGGCCTCTCTCAAAATTATGTCTGGCTCATCTCTTCTGAATGATCCCTAGAACATATCCTAAAAGTTTCAGGGTGATTGCTCAAAAAATGTAGGAGGAGATTGATTTTTAGACTCGATTTCAGGGCACTCGATTTGAGAACCCCATTAGGAGTAGGACGAATTTACGAATTTTTGGAAAACTGCCAAAAATCAACCAAATTATGAGTTAGAATCAAATAAGAGGCAAAAATGAAATTTGTCACATTTATGAACTGATAGCAATTCACCTTTCAAAATTTGCTCCTTTATAAAAAAAATGATCGATTTTTACATTCTACACACTATTTTCAACTCACCCTGTATATAGATAAAAAAGGCAAAAGTGTAGCAGTATAGTATAGTATAGTGTAGTATATACTTATAGTGCAATAGTGTAAAAATGTAAAAAATAAATTAATTAATCACTTTGCACTTGACTATCATGTGTGACGTGGTCTACTTTAACACGTTCTCTAGGTGGCCCTGAGTGACAATATTGAAAACATTAACAACCCTCTGATCTGGCAATTATCCAACCCTAACCCTAACTAAAATTGAAGTAAATTCTTAATCATATGCTAAAACCCTAAGGCCAACCCTAACCCTAACTAAAAGTAAAGCATATTTATAATCATATGCTGATACCCTAACCCAATCTCTAACTAAAACTAAAAGTAAAGCATGTTCATGATCATATGCTGCAACCCTATAAGTATAACCCTTACGTCTACGAGAATGTATATTGTATACCAATTTCTTTACAATAATACAATATAGTCATGTCAGTGACATTGTCACATGATCAAGACAATTTTTCGCTGATATCTCCCCCGGGAGCATTTTTACCCTATGCCATGTGGGGTGATTCGGAATCAGCGTTCAAAAATACATCGATACAAGTAGGTTTTATTTGTGGGGGCCGTTTAGAAGAATATCGAGCTTCGAGTGTAGAGTGATTTAGCACGCTTGTTAGTTGTGAACCATCCCTAATTTAAAGGCCCTCAATGCTAGCCACGTTCCACCAAATGTTTAGTCTTGGTAAGCGTCTTATCAGAGTCTTACTCTTTTGATCTTATCAGCGTCTCATTCGTTTAACGAATTAGCCCAAACAACTCGGCCTGAAAATACATTAAAAATGTTACAATAATTCACAGATTTTCGGTCATTATTCTAAAGATTGGAGATTTATCAGCAATCAGCATGAGCTGTTATTTAAATTAAACTGTTGTAGATTCGATTAGGAACAGTAGTAACTTATAAACCTAAATTATTCTTAGGTGGATTCGGGATTCCCTCTTATCATGTAAATACCGATATTACTTCATGCTCACTTCATTTCTTTACGAGAAACTAAAAGTAAAGCATATTATATTCATAATCATATGCTGAAACCTTAACCCAAACCCTAACTAAAGCATATTCATAATCGTATGACTATGCTGAAACCCTATAACCCTTACGAGAATTTATACCAATTTTTACCATACAATATGGTCATGTCACATGATCATTGTTGGATCAAGACAGTTTTTCGCCGATATCTCGCCCGGGAGCATTTTTACCCTATGACATGTGGGGTGATTCGGAATCAGCGTTCAAAAATACATCGATACAAGTAGGTTTCATTTGTGGGGGCCCGTTTAGAAGAATTTCGATCTTCGAGTGTAGAGTGATTTAGCACGGTTGTTAGTTGTGAACCATCCCTAATTTAAAGGCCCTCAATGCTAGCCACGTTCTACCAAATGTTTAGTCTTGGTTAGCGTCTTATAATCAGCGTCTTTTGATCTTAATTTCTTATCAGTGTCTCATTCATTTAACGAATTAGCCCAAACAACTCGGGCTGAAAATACATTAAAAATGTTACAATAATTCACAGATTTTCGGTCATTATTCTAAAGATTGGAGATTTATCAGCATGAGCTGTTTTCGAAGTTAAACTGTTGTAGATTGGATTAGGAACAGTAGTAACTTAAACCTAAATTATTCTTAGGTGGATTCGGGATTCCCTCTTCTCATTTAGATCTATAAATACCGATATCACTTCATGTTCACTTCATTTCTTGACGAGAACAGCTTTTGTAGTCATCTTTAATCGTTTGACTCACATCTTAAAATGACTTCAGTCGAGCCCATCACTGGAAAGGAGAAGCCGAAAGATTCTCTTCAAGAAGAATTTTTCACAATCGAAGATGTTATCGACAAAACTGTGAACAAACTGAACTTTAGGCTTGCTTTCATCTTCTGGGCCGCACTCAGTACGGTTTTCAACGCAGGTGCTGTAACCGACATGACGGTGATGACTGGAAACATACCCTTTAAAGACTGGACATGCTCTTCGAAAAAATGCACCTCTCTCTATGCAGCAGCTTCCGACAAAGAAACCTTCTTCTCTCAACAGACGATGTGCGACAACGACTTTATTGCTGGGATAGATTTTCATTGGGCCACAAAAAAGACGACTTTCACAACGGACTGGAATATCTACTGCAAGAACGAGGCGAAGCTGTCTACAATATCTGGAGTATATTTTTTTGGTGGAATCTTTGGATTGTTATGCTCAACTGGAATCTTCGATAGGATAGGTCGCAAAAAAGGAGCACTTTTAGGAAGTGCTATTACCACACTGGCTACTGCAGCAAGCGCTGTTGCCCCCAACTACGAGGCCCTGCTCGTATTTAGGATAATGTCTGGGTTTGGTCTGATGATCAGCTACACGGGTACTTACTGTTGGATCATTGAATTTGCCCCCACAAACCTCCGGAACATAGCAAGTGGGTTCTACCCAATGGGCTGGTCTATAAGCTCTCTTATGTTGGCGCTTCTTGGGTACTTGATTGACAAATGGCAGCATATATACCTAGCTACAGCTGGAATTTGCGCGTTCAGCACTATCATGCTTATCGTGAATCCTCTTCCAGAATCACCTAGGTTTCATTTGGTCCGAGGTGAGGAAAAAGAAGCGAAAAAATGTCTGTTGTCGTTTTTCCAGGCTACTGGTAACCGCTTCTCCTTTGAAGGTGTAAATCTAATTTACGAGAAAAGGGTGCAAAATTATTTCAAACAGGTCAGTGATTTTAAGACTTTAAGAGATATCCGGCTATGCTAAAGAGGACTCTTCTCTGCATGCTCTGCTGGTTCTTCGTCTCAATCATAGGATTTGCATACACTTTTGGTTGGAGCAAAATTGGGAGTAATCTTTACACCAGCTACTTACTTGGTGCGCTAGGAGGATCTATTGGGAACGTTTCTTCGATACCTGCTTGCAAACTTCTTGGAAGAAAAGGAGCCACAATTTTCTTTTTCGGAGGCATAGCTGTATTTAACTTCATAGCCATGGTACACGTGCAGTTTTCGGAGTCCTGGACGCTGGAATATGTTGCCAGTTTAATCGGCAGTATATCTGGATCAGCGGCGTTCGCCATGGTCTATTTGTACACAGGAGAACTATCTCCGACCTCTCACCGTGGCATGATAATGTGTTTGAGTTCCAGTAGTGCCAGGGTTGGCAGTTTCCTCGGACCCTATGTAAGTCTACTGTACGGAGTTACTGATAGGAGGGTCCCCCTGGCTTTGTTTGCTGGTTTGGCTTTCTGTGGGTGTTTGGCTTCTTTCTTCCTGCCTGATACTACTGGAGTTGCTATTCCCGAAACCCCCAAAGATGTCAAAGATTAGAATTTGCTGGATGAAACCAAACGTTGTAAATTATGTTCAAAGTTACTAAAGAAGATTAAAGAAGACCAAAATCATTTTGGCAAGATTATTTATTGATTTTTATTCATTTATGTTGCAGGCCCTTTAAACGTTTCCACAACCTTAAAACTGTAACTTGACCCTCAAAGATTTAATTTTATACAATTCTCTATCAAAATATTCGCTAAAGATTGATTATCTTTTTGCTGACTATAAGACTGGTTTTACTTTTGTCTTTTTTATAATCGTAAATAACAGCGAGTTTCTCTCTTGCGATTTCCTATGTGACTTGAAAAGTAACAGTGTCTACCTTAAAGTTAAAAGGATTGACTTTTCGTATATAGTAAATCCGCCATGGTCCATCCATTCACCCATAAAACTATGTTATAGCTTAGATTTAATAAATTATGACTAGCATATGAATCCACATCATGAAATGTATGTTAATTTGAATTGTAAATGCTATTTTTCAGTAAGCAGGAGATACGAACCTAACAATGTCACGGGGAGCACTATTTTGGCCAAGTTCGGTATTCCACGAAATCTTTATCTATCACCAAGAATGTAATTTTATTAGGAATGTTTTGAAAGCAATAAAAGAAGTTCTGGAGAACCCGGGCATTGATCCCGGTACCTCTCACATGCTAAGCGAGCGCTCTACCATTTGAGCTAGTCCCCCGATACAGTTTCGAGAAATCACTTGGTAAAAATCAGATTAATAGAAGTCTCTTAATTGCAAAAAAAAAGTCTCCACGGAATATAATTTGGATTTTATTAATATGTAAACATTCCCAATCATATTTGAATTATGACATTTGATTACCTTTCACTAATGATTATGAAGCTGCCGATCCCGACGCCAGATACATTACGGCTTACATTCACATATTTGTAGCAAGATTAGGCGGTTCATGACGAATCAAATCATGACAATCATCTGCACGAAAAATGAAATCCTCGTGATATTATGGACTTTGATACATGATACAGATCTGCACAAATATTAGGTACGTACGACTGGAAATTCCAAGTATTTTATTTGTAATTTAATGTCCAATATTTTGGGGGTTTTAACATTTAAATTGTCGTAATATCAACTTCAATTTCAAGTAATTACCCAACAACATTTAATTTTAATAAAGTTTATAGCGTTAGTACTAATTTCAACGCTAATATTTATCAAATAATTAGAGTTCGTGTATTGAGCTAAAGAATATACCATGTACCCAATGCGAAGGGGCGTCAACACGAAACAAACGTCGAATAAGTTAGTCAGTATAAGACTCCGCCAAAACTAAAATGTAAAAGCAGGGTGCGATTACTATTAGATTTCGATTGTAGGTTTATATTTATAATTATAACCAACCAGGACTTGTAGGTTTATAACCTACCAGGACGCGCACCGAATTGGATTCGTCGACGGTATTATTCGAAACAAATATTTTAAGCGAGTATCCCCCGTTAAGATTTCGACGTCTTCGCGTATAACCTACATTAACATATTATGCTACAAGACTAGCCATATATAACGCTGCTCAAGTTGCCCGGGTATGGCAGATGGCTGTTGATTTTAAAAGCATTACAAATTTTTAAAATATTTTAGGCTCATATTATGATCATGGAATTGGAACTGGATGCATATAGCGAAGATAAAAGTGGTTCCCAGGAAAAAAATTTAAAAACGTTGAACTTCGAAAATTGAAGTCATTCTCCATACTATTCTGTAATCTGTATACGTATCTCTGAAGGCAGGCTCCCTGGGCCGGGGTCCTGCTACATGCAATTTTTGATCGCGTGCCCTGAGAATCGTTTTTTGATGGTTTTCGAGGTCTAAGATTTTTCAAAATCGAATAAAATATTTTTAAAGGCCTCTCTCAAAATTATGTCTGGCTCATCTCTTCTGAATGATCCCTAGAACATATCCTAAAAGTTTCAGGGTGATTGCTCAAAAAATGTAGGAGGAGATTGATTTTTAGACTCGATTTCAGGGCACTCGATTTGAGAACCCCATTAGGAGTAGGACGAATTTACGAATTTTTGGAAAACTGCCAAAAATCAACCAAATTATGAGTTAGAATCAAATAAGAGGCAAAAATGAAATTTGTCACATTTATGAACTGATAGCAATTCACCTTTCTAAATTTGCTCCTTTATAAAAAAAATGATCGATTTTTACATTCTACACACTATTTTCAACTCACCCTGTATATAGATAAAAAAGGCAAAAGTGTAGCAGTATAGTATAGTATAGTGTAGTATATACTTATAGTGCAATAGTGTAAAAATGTAAAAAATAACCCTAACTAAAAGTAAAGCATATTTATAATCATATGCTGATACCCTAACCCAATCTCTAACTAAAACTAAAAGTAAAGCATGTTCATGATCATATGCTGCAACCCTATAATCCTTACGTCTACGAGAATGTATATTGTATACCAATTTCTTTACAATAATACAATATGGTCAATGACCATTGGTCATGTCAGTGACATTGTCACATGATCAAGACAATTTTTCGCTGATATCTCCCCCGGGAGCATTTTTACCCTATGCCATGTGGGGTGATTCGGAATCAGCGTTCAAAAATACATCGATACAAGTAGGTTTTATTTGGGGGGCCGTTTAGAAGAATATCGAGCTTCGAGTGTAGAGTGATTTAGCACGCTTGTTAGTTGTGAACCATCCCTAATTTAAAGGCCCTCAATGCTAGCCACGTTCCACCAAATGTTTAGTCTTGGTAAGCGTCTTATCAGAGTCTTACTCTTTTGATCTTATCAGCGTCTCATTCGTTTAACGAATTAGCCCAAACAACTCGGCCTGAAAATACATTAAAAATGTTACAATAATTCACAGATTTTCGGTCATTATTCTAAAGATTGGAGATTTATCAGCAATCAGCATGAGCTGTTATTTAAATTAAACTGTTGTAGATTCGATTAGGAACAGTAGTAACTTATAAACCTAAATTATTCTTAGGTGGATTCGGGATTCCCTCTTATCATGTAAATACCGATATTACTTCATGCTCACTTCATTTCTTTACGAGAAACTAAAAGTAAAGCATATTATATTCATAATCATATGCTGAAACCTTAACCCAAACCCTAACTAAAGCATATTCATAATCGTATGACTATGCTGAAACCCTAACCCTTACGAGAATTTATACCAATTTTTACCATACAATATGGTCATGTCACATGATCATTGTTGGATCAAGACAGTTTTTCGCCGATATCTCGCCCGGGAGCATTTTTACCCTATGACATGTGGGGTGATTCGGAATCAGCGTTCAAAAATACATCGATACAAGTAGGTTTCATTTGTGGGGGCCCGTTTAGAAGAATTTCGATCTTCGAGTGTAGAGTGATTTAGCACGGTTGTTAGTTGTGAACCATCCTTAAAGTTAATTTAAAGGCCCTCAATGCTAGCCACGTTCTACCAAATGTTTAGTCTTGGTTAGCGTCTTATAATCAGCGTCTTTTGATCTTAATTTCTTATCAGTGTCTCATTCATTTAACGAATTAGCCCAAACAACTCGGGCTGAAAATACATTAAAAATGTTACAATAATTCACAGATTTTCGGTCATTATTCTAAAGATTGGAGATTTATCAGCATGAGCTGTTTTCGAAGTTAAACTGTTGTAGATTCGATTAGGAACAGTAGTAACTTAAACCTACATTATTCTTAGGTGGATTCGGGATTCCCTCTTATCATTTAGATCTATAAATACCGATATCACTTCATGTTCACTTCATTTCTTGACGAGAACAGCTTTTGTAGTCATCTTTAATCGTTTGACTCACATCTTAAAATGACTTCAGTCGAGCCCATCACTGGAAAGGAGAAGCCGAAAGATTCTCTTCAAGAAGAATTTTTCACAATCGAAGATGTTATCGACAAAACTGTGAACAAACTGAACTTTAGGCTTGCTTTCATCTTCTGGGCCGCACTCAGTACGGTTTTCAACGCAGGTGCTGTAACCGACATGACGGTGATGACTGGAAACATACCCTATAAAGACTGGACATGCTCTTCGAAAAAATGCACCTCTCTCTATGCAGCAGCTTCCGACAAAGAAACCTTCTTCTCTCAACAGACGATGTGCGACAACGACTTTATTGCTGGGATAGATTTTCATTGGGCCACAAAAAAGACGACTTTCACAACGGACTGGAATATCTACTGCAAGAACGAGGCGAAGCTGTCTACAATATCTGGAGTATATTTTTTTGGTGGAATCTTTGGATTGTTATGCTCAACTGGAATCTTCGATAGGATAGGTCGCAAAAAAGGAGCACTTTTAGGAAGTGCTATTACCACACTGGCTACTGCAGCAAGCGCTGTTGCCCCCAACTACGAGGCCCTGCTCGTATTTAGGATAATGTCTGGGTTTGGTCTGATGATCAGCTACACAGGAACCTACTGTTGGATCATTGAATTTGCCCCTACAAACCTCCGGAACATAGCAAGTGGGTTCTACCCAATGGGCTGGTCTATAAGCTCTCTTATTTTTGCGCTTCTTGGGTACTTGATTGACAAATGGCAGCATATATACCTAGCTACAGCTGGAATTTGCGCGTTCAGCACTATCATGCTTATCGTGAATCCTCTTCCAGAATCCCCTAGGTTTCATTTGGTCCGAGGTGAGGAAAAAGAAGCGAAAAAATGTCTGTTGTCGTTTTTCCAGGCTACTGGTAACCGCTTCTCCTTTGAAGGTGTAAATCTAATTTACGAGAAAAGGGTGCAAAATTATTTCAAACAGGTCAGTGATTTTAAGAGATATCCGGCTATGCTAAAGAGGACTCTTCTCTGCATGCTATGCTGGTTCTTCGTCTCAATCATAGGATTTGCATACACTTTTGGTTGGAGCAAAATTGGGAGTAATCTTTACACCAGCTACTTACTTGGTGCGCTAGGAGGATCTATTGGGAACGTTTCTTCGATAACTGCTTGCAAACTTCTTGGAAGAAAAGGAGCCACAATTTTCTTTTTCGGAGGCATAGCTGTATTTAACTTCATAGCCATGGTACACGTGCAGTTTTCGGAGTCCTGGACGCTGGAATATGTTGCCAGTTTAATCGGCAGTATATCTGGATCAGCGGCGTTCGCCATGGTCTATTTGTACACAGGAGAACTATCTCCGACCTCTCACCGTGGCATGATAATGTGTTTGAGTTCCAGTAGTGCCAGGGTTGGCAGTTTCCTCGGACCCTATGTAAGTCTACTGTACGGAGTTACTGATAGGAGGGTCCCCCTGGCTTTGTTTGCCGGTTTGGCTTTCTGTGGGTGTTTGGTTTCGTTCTTCCTGCCTGATACTACTGGAGTTGCTATTCCCGAAACCCCCAAAGATATCAAAGATTAGAATTTGCTTGATGAAACCAAACGTTGTAAATTATGGTCAAAGTTACTAAAGAAGATTGAAGGGTTGCAACCTAAATAATAACAAACACTAAAATGTTTTATTAATTTTTATTCATTTATGTTGTAGGCCCTTTAAACTATTCCACAACCTTAAAACTGTAACTTGATCCTTAAAGATTTTATTTTATACAACTGTCTATCTTATATTGCTATCAAAATATTCGCTAAATTTTGATTACTTTTTGCTGACTACAAACTTGTTTTTTTTTGTCACAATGTCTATTTTTAGAATCGAAAATATTAGCGAGTCTCCCTCTTGAGATTCTTATTTGACTTAGAAAATAGCAGTGTGTATTTAAAAGGATGGACTTATTGTAGATAATAAATCCGCCATAATCCATCCATCCACCCATACATCCATATCATAAAACTACGTTCTAACTCAGATTTATTAAATTATGACTAGCTTGTGAATCTATATCATCTAATCTTGAATCTATGTTAATTCTGAATGGATTCTGAATGATATTTTTTAGTGAGCAGGAGATACGAACCTAACAATGTCACGGGGAGCGCTATTACTTCGGTACTCTCTCTCTCTCTCTCTCTCTCTCTGATATTGATAATGTAATGTGAGCCGCTGTTTCCGAGGCTGCTGAAGCTGCCGAACCCGACGTCAGAGATATTACGGCTTTCACCAATTTGTAGCAAGATTAGGCGGTTCATGACGAATTAGGCAAATCATGCCAATCATCTGGCCGAAAAATGAAAACCTCGTGATCTTATGGACTTTGATAAAGATTTGCACAACTGTGGTCTATTACAAGGTACGTATGGTCGGAAATTTCAAGTATTTCATTTTGTCCAATATTTTGTTGTCGTTATCAAGTAATTACCCAATTATCAATTTATAACCTACCCAACCAACATTAAATTTTAATTAAGTTGATAGTTAACCAATTTTAATCTTCTTTTTCAACATTAAATTTTAATTAAGTTGATAGTTAACCAATTTTAATCGACATTTATGAACAGTGGTCACATGACGTCAGATGTGGTTGCACATTACACAAATCAGCTGCATTGTGGTGAGTATTACAGATTGTACCGTCTAAATGTACTGGATACAATCAACATGTTAGCACCATTAACACGGGCACCTGTTTCCAGTTTTCTCTGTGTATTATGTACACCGGATTCCACTGTATTTGCTCTTACGTTAACGTATATCTGTCGTGACATGTGTTTGATACAAGTTAGGAATCGTTCATGTATTTCAGTATGTCTGGGCAAAGAGGGGCCAAAGAGGGAGTAGCTAAGAATGGTGGAAATTGTGACGCTTCTATTTTATAACTGTATATTGTATCAAAATATGTTAACCTTCTCACGGATTCAGAAGGATAGCTGGATAGGGGCCTTTAAGTTGCAAAGTTTTAAAAGACGTACTAATATAGTAATATGTACAGTAATTGTTTGCCTATCAGATAAAATTTAGAGACATTAAATCGTTTATGGAGCATAGCAATTTAGTTTCTTCCAAATATAGCGCAAATCACAAACACATGCATCATATTGTATTAGATTACATAATACATATTATTATCATCACAAAACGTTGAACGATTACCATAATATGTTTAAGATTTGAAAATGTTAACACTTATTTACGTTCGGCACCCTGACGTTTCATAAAACTTGCTACCTTACACAGTTAATGCGCTTAATTCAGTGTAGCTTCATGGTTCATGCATCCTACCTCTAGTGGTTTACAGCTCGTTCTAGCATTTCGCAAGGTAAAAGGTTTCCATTTCATTCGCTTCCGAAATTTTATTTAAGTTCTACTAGTATTAGTTCCTGAAAATGTTAACAGATCCCACGGTACAAAATCTGGAGCTTACTCAAACCGTGTTTTCGTTACTGTTGGAAGTCAGCCAATATATCGTCAATGTTTGAAGGAGCCCAGTGTACTCCTAATGGCAAGGTAATTACTGAGCCCGGCAGACTGATATGCGTATAATTAATTATCAATTAACAGCTGATAATTGACGTGATTGACATTTCTAAGTTAAAACGTAACTTTTGCCTGCTTTGACACGACTGCAGTACGAGATGACCTTCACTGCATTGTTCCTTTATTCGACCGTACGACGTTCACTTAGCTAGTTTACCTATATAAGTTGACTTCTTTAATTGTTCATGTTGTTCCTTACCCTTATTCTAAAGTTAGAGCAGTTTTGTAGCACTACGAGTATTACCATGATCTGCAGGTAAGAAATTCTGTGCAGCCATGGTACATTTCATGACTGGATTGCATTACCAGTAATTTTAAATTAGTTTACCTTTTAAGGAAGTAAAATTAGTCTAGTAGGTAAAGTTGTGTTATATATATTGTGTTCGTTATAATTGCTTTCATTTCAGTCTTTCTGCTCGTCTATTCTATTGTTTGTTACTTTAACAATGATCATTGATGCGTTCAGCAAATTTCTACTGTCTTTCTACCACTATATTATTCAGATGCTACCTCTCTGATAGCACTTATTAAATTATTAATTGTAATTTCTTAATTTTCTCTTTAAATTTATTTTTCTGATGATAATTCAATTATTCGTACGAATATAAATTGAATTTGAGACTTCATGTTGCCATTATCTACGCTGTTAAGGCCAAAAGTAGGTATAACGATATATAAACACAAAGTATAATGAACTGCATTAAGTAGGTATACGAATTACCTCACCAAATGGTATATCTGTACACTGCACATATCCTAGTTAGCTAGCTAAGTTAGCTAGTTAGTTAGTTAGTTGTACACATAAACACAGTCTACACCGTTTTAATGGTATTACGTGCCAGCTTGCATGTGTATGTTTGTGATTTGGTTTGTAATTAATGATCAGTTTTGTAGATGGTCCTGTTAATGTTTCTTCTTTGAGTGAGTAATATTGCTCCCTTCTCGTTCTAAACCGACCACCTGCATACTCGCCCAGCCAACCCCTGCAGTTCCCACCAAATACAGGACCCCACCCCTATTGCCCTTCTTCGAGCGGGAGAGGAGAAGTTACTTCGTGGGTTTGTACACTTCATTGCTAAATTAAACTTTCTTAAATGGTCGATCAGTGAATATACCGTAATCCACAAACCGCTTAAATGATCGATCAGTGAATATACTGTAATATCTTCTGAAACCGCTTAAATGATCGATCAGTTGAATTTATAACCGTAGTATCTTCAAACTCATTTTCTTAGCTACTGCTGTCCTGTTGTGTGTCATGTAATTATATCATACATAGCAATATTTATAATGCCTACATTATACTGACTTACTGATGCTTGCGACAATAACTGTGCTGCTCAAGTATTTTAACCGTAGGATAGGATTTCAACATCTCCTAGATTTTATTGTATGATCAGTGGCAAGACATTGTACCTGCTCGTAAGAGTATGTCCAGTATCTTGCCTAATTCACAACGCTTCTCACGCCTGACTCTGAAAGTAATTACCCCATCCCCCGGTTATCTTGTAACCCCGAATTAGTACCTCCAGATTAGAAGGTTCCTCACACTCTAGTCTGTTAAAGTACACCGCTTCAATTAGTTTCTCATTTCTCTTCTTGTTGCTAGTTCTGTTTACATACTTCACTCTACTTAACTCTACAGTCTACTCTCCACCTCTACTTCCTGTATCTATATCAGAAATACGGACTTCGTAATTTGATGAAATGATGCCCGTGTAAGTAAATATGAAACCCTTAACTTAAATTGCACGTTTACTCCACAGTATTGGATATCCACATATTATTATCAGTGATACATATCAGATTCCTGTGCATTTACACTGAAATGTTTTTTAAATTACATATTATCGGTTATGGAAGCTTTGAGACTTGAGAGTGAAAGGGCTTTTCAGTCTTCGTTCTTGTTTGTCTTTTTAGTTCTAACTTTTGTCCTTGCTGTCCTTTTCTTCCCAAATGTTTGCCTTTACTTTTTATTATTGTCCTCCTTGTCCTTGAAAAAAAAGAATCCAAAAAGGAGTAGGAAAATAGACTGTGCTACCATGATGCCCCCTCACCTCCCTCGCCGCTTCCTGCGATGTGGTTGTCTATAACATTCTATAACATTAGTATATTTGACTCGAGTTACTTTATCGGTCATAATTATCACGGACATTATTTTTACGCTGAAGACCTTAGCGTGAATAATTGTGCCCGTGAAAATAATGTCTGTGGCATTAAGGTCCGTGAATAATGAAGTCCGGTAATTATTTCCATTAATTTTAGTGTGTGTGTCCCTACATATTCGTAGATATGTGTGTATAAGCCGATTATTATATTAGTTGATTAGTATACTAGGACAAATATAATCACTCCTCGGCCTCAGTCACATTTTATATAAGAGTTCAGAAAAAGAGTAAAAAACTTATTAAAAAATCACCAAAAATGTTCACAATGTTTTGGACATTTTTGGGCGGTCATTATAAGCGTGAATAATTATGTCCGTGAAAAATTTGGTCCGTGACAATTATGTCCGATAAGGTGGTTATAATAGTGTAATAATAATATCTATAGACTCAACAAACTGGGGAATAACGACCATTAACTCAATAATTTACCGCATTTTATTATATGAAACTTACATAACCAACTCATATCCACACTAACATTGGCCAAGAATAACCATTGTTCATCCCCCCGCTGTGTTTCTGCGAACTCATTATACCTCAAATAGTGCAGCACCGCGTGTATCATAGAATGTGAGCATCCAATATGTTATTGTTGTCATTTTCTCTATACAGGAGTCCTGTTTCGTTCCTTCTCCTTGTTCTATTGTAAATAGCAAATTCGTTCACTAATTTATCTCACGAAAAAGTGAATGGCTGTGGTAATATGAAAGTGTTGCACTATTATTTTAAGCACTCTATACTAGTGGAAGTTAATTATTGAAGGGTGCCTTATCGCCTCCAAATTTCGGTCGCAGCGAATGATTGCTCAGGTGCTGCTTTAATAACTATATAGAGTTACTGTTGCCGCTAGGTAACATGATATCTCTGCTTTTAGCAGAACTGTTCCCGTTCTTTTGCTCAATGTCTACTGAACCTAGATCATACGTCAATTCATTGTTTTAGTTTGTTCAGTTTGTGTGAGTAAGTGCAAATTCGAGAATATGTTAATTTCAGTACGATGGGTTAAAACTTCAGTACAATTTTTAAATGATAAGCTTAGTTTGTTGATAAAATATCATGATTCTAGTTGTAACCGTAAAATGTTAACACCTTTGCGATATTAAAGTATTAAAACTCACAACGAAAATTCTAGAACCTGGATGTCTTTTTTTTATTTATTCGTTGCACTCTTTAGAACCAAATTTATCCAGTTATTATAAACTTGACTACATCTCAATCAGTAGTATAGGTCCTACTCACCTCCATACTTCCTTCCCCCCCCCCCCATTACGGTTTACCCGTAATACAGCATTTATCGTATAAAACAATCCCAAGATACCTAACAGGTTTAGAACAGCGTTCATGTCTTTGAGAAAATCTTTTGACCCCGTAGGTCAGATTCGGAGATTCCATCATCACCCAGCAGTTAATCGCTACTGTTCCAGATTATCTCGGGCACCAGACTACACAACAGACACTTTAAAATTGATGCACCACCAGCTTGAGTACAGAAAACGCTTCCAGTAATATTGACCCCATCATATCCACCACCACATGGTACAAACTATTCAATGAGTGGTGTGAAGAATCATGCCTGAAGTGTGGGGTTGGTACCAAAAACTCGTGATTCCCGACTCACATGGGGAGTGAGTTTCCATTAGAAATTCCGAGTTTTGATACAAAGCTTGACATGATCGTAGTCCACGCTCGTTGGATCAACGACTTTTGTATATTTAAAAGGGAGGCCAGATGACATAAGGAAAGGCTTTGAGAAGTCGGGTATAACTGATGCTTATAGATCAGACTTTACGGTGGATGATAATCCATTTGCAGATCTTGTTTAAATCTCTAGCTATCCGTACCTCTAGCCATTTGTTTTATTAGTAGCTGTTAGCTATTCCAGTTCTTTCTATTCATTTAAAATATAAGCCTTTTTACTTGGTCAAGCCATGAATGACAGATTAGAAAACTAAAATTTCAAATATTATTTCACTTGGATATGAAGAAAAAGCCATCTTTCTATAGATTTCAGGGCCACAGGCCAAATGCCAAAAGTTTGGTTAGCAAAAAATTTAGCAGACGGAAAAGATTTATGCAATTAATTTGGTCTGCAAAAAATTTGGGCGAGAGGCCCGCTCAAATTTTTTGTCGCCCAAATTTTTGGGAATTAAGGTATTTTCTTTCTTTATTTGTTTGACAATGAGGCATCTCCGTCACTGATCCAGTTGTTGTAAGTATCTTCTTTTTATGACAACTTCTACATTCAAGTAGAGGCTGGTGGACCATGGTTCACCCAGTAATCTGACCACTATAATATATCATCAAGCTTAGAGCACGGTATAGTAGGACATTGGAGTAGTTCTAACATTTAGGAACCAATTAACGCAGATTATGCTAAACTAAGAACCACCAGAAAACCACCAGGTACCCTATTCATCTCCATATCTTCCACATCTAGCTTTGATGTTGCTCGTTGATGTAAGTAAGTTCGTTAACTCTCGTATCAATCAGCTGCTCTCCCCTCGTCTCCCGTTTCATAAACAAAATAGTGAGACACGCCACGGCCTGCACAACCACGAAACAGTACAGAGAATACTTGATATCATAATCATCTAGATACTCAGTCAGAAAGGTGCCAGCTGCAGCCCCCAACTTCCCTATCCCATTCTGTACCCCCACTGCAGTCCCCCTCATGTAGGTTGGGTAGAACTCAGGAGCGTAGATCCATAGCACCTCGTTATAGGCAGAGTAACAAACAATCGCTCCAAACACCTCAACATAGGTTAGAACTGCGTTCATGCAGATGAGAAGAAGGACAGTGAAAGCTGCGCCGAGATAGATTGCGGAGATAAAGGTCCATCTTCTGCCCACAGTTTCCGCTCCCACTGTTCCAAGAATAAACCCTGGAACAAATGCCAGAGCTACTACGATGAGAAACAAGTATTCAGCTTTAGTGTAAACTTTGCAACCCCAGGCGTTGATGTAAGTAGTTTCAAAGAACGCCTCCATGTAGCAGTAGTTATCCGCCATCATGTCCACCACTAACATGGTGATACCAAACACTAAGAACATATTACAAATGTAGTGGATGGTGATCTGGATGCTGCCTGAAGTGTGGGGTTTGGTCCAAATCTCGCCGTACTCTCCAGACCTCACATCGGAGCAGTAGAGTGTCCCTGCAGGAACTTCCGCCTGGTTTTGCTGACAAATTTTCTCAATGACTCTCATTGCCTTCTCACGCTCCCCGTGGATAACCAGATAGCGGGGGGACTCGTCCATGAAGTGGAGGAGAAATAGCATAATGGCACACGGCACAGCCGTGAGGAGTATTTGATACCTCCACCCGCCCTCTAGATCCATAACCCAGAACGCTATCACACACTCGTACACTGATCCAACTGTCCAGAAAAACTCCAAGATACACATGTTCCAGGACCGCTTTTTAGCTGGAACCATCTCCGCGGAGTACACCACTGAACAGCCGTAACTGCCACCAATACAGAACCCAGTAACTCCTCTACAGCAGAGGAAGAAGTAGTAGCTGGGGGCGAAAGCTGATGCTACTGCTGATAATACCAGCAAGTAGCCGTTAACGATCATAACAGGAAATCTACCGAATTTATCAGCTAGTTTCCCAGAGATAATACTCCCTATCGCATAGAAGAAATAAACGATCGCCGGGATCAGAGCCTTTTCAAGACTTGTCAAATTCCATTCGCACTTGAGGTTTTGTAAAATGATGGTCGCCAGCCAGACCTCAGCCGCATCGGCAAAAGACATGATGCCCATTACAAATACAACCTTGTATTGATACCAACCCCATCCAGTTTTCTCAATAACCGTGTTCACCTCAAACATCTCCTCATCGTCTATTACCTTCTTATATGGATTTGGCGGTGGTGGTTGAGGTGGTGACGATGGTGGTGGGGTTTCCACTTCTTCAAATGGTCTGGATTCTCTAATCGCAGTCCCTTGTGGCGGCTGTGGTGGAGTTTCTGGCGGTGTGGTGTAGAGGTTACGAATAGCTGCTCTCTGTAGCACAGTATGGGGACTATTAGCAGCAGCAGAGGAGAAATACTGTGTCTCTTCTGAAACAGGAGTAGAAACACCAGACCTCTCCCTGAGCGTCTCTAAGGGCGAGACTCCAGCGGGTGCTGCTCCAACGTCAGGAGATGGTGTTTCTTCACTCTCAAATGCTTGGGTTCCCCTTCTCTGCCTCAATCTGATCAGCTCTAAGTTAGTGGGAACTACTGCATGGGGCCCGCCCTCAGCCATCTAACCGAGGTGGTCTCTCTCTCTCTTTAACGTACACTACATTAGTTTGGAGAAACCTAATCTTTTATCCTGGTCATCTGAACAGGTTTAAAATGAGTTAGTATTTGTACAAATAGTAACTTAGCTTCACGAAATTGTAACAACGAATTACGAAAGCATTAAAAAGACTAACGATGTCACTATCAAAACTGCAGCACAAGTCGGAAATATTCGGCAATGAATGTTCACAACATGGAAAATAATGCGCTACGCTCACGCAATGTCTACAGGATTGTGCATCATAGAATGTGTGCTGCACAGAATGCCAGGCCCTGCGTTTACGTGCTTGGTGACGCGTATGTTTGTTAATATATATTATACTAGGATGCATTGAAACTATCGGACTACGATGAAACTATTTGTCGAACTAGAGTACGCTACCTGGACTCTAATTCGACAGGGGTGATATCTGGCGAACTTAAGTAGTCGAACTATAGTGCGTGTCGAACTAGAATACGTGAATCAATCTTTAACATCCAAAATATTTCCTTTAGCCCATTAACTTCATATGAGACTCCTAACGGTCCTAAACAAATCTCCTAACCCTTTAGAACAGCATACTAAGAGATGAGAACTTATAAAGGAAAATTGAGGAAATTATGATTATTTCTCACCGGGTAGTGTTTTTTGAGACACCCTGTATATACCTCAAGTGTATATAATAATGAGGTATATACCTCAAGTGTATATAATGAGGTATATACCTCAAGTTTATATAATGAGGTATACCTCAAGTGTATATAATGAGGTATACCTCAAGTGTATATAATGAGGTATATACCTCAAGTGTATATAATGAGGTATATCTCAAGTTTATATGAGGGATATACCTCAAGTAAAATATACCCAATAAAAATACCACTTGAGCTAGTTTTTGAAAGGATACCAGTTAGTAATGAGTAAAATATGAGCCAATATCTGAAAGTTTTTGCCGGACCAGAACCGGGTGTTCAGAAGAGGACATTTAGGCTGCCGAAAATTGCCAAAAAAATGTAATTTTAATCCCATTTTTTTCTCATGCCCTATTTCAGAGGCAACATATATATAAGTACGATGGGTGTAAAATCACACTATTGATCTAATACCACCCCTTTTTCCACCATTCGTTCTACCAGATTTGTGTACTTCAACTTACAATGTACAATGAGATAGGATCGACATGCCAATTATAACTAATAACTATTAAATATGGTTATGGTCAAACGTTTAACATGCATAAAATTAAAGTCATCGCAAAATAGAATTAATCTCGTAAATCAGGAAAAACATAATATACTAAGGCAACTTAAACAATAATCAAATAATACCTTATCGGACCTTATTTGAACGAACATTAATTGAACACTGGAGGCCGCCCTAACGTTCATCTTAATGTCCGTTCAAATAAAGTCCGTTCATTTAAGGTCCGTCCAAGTTAAAGTCCGTTGAATTTTTTTCAAACATTTTTACACTTCGAACTTTTTGTCCAGAATATGACAACTATGATAACTTTATTGTGCCGTAAGTTAACGAAGGAAAGGTTCTCCTTGGTCTGCCAGAGGCACAGAAAACTCTACTAGTATATGATGTTTTCAAGGGTCACTTGGCGTTGGCGGAAAAAGTCAACGAAATTATGGCACTCAACAACATAGTTCATGAGCTAGTCCCCGCCAACATGACAAACTTGTTCCAGCCTCTAGATATTACGGTAAATCGTGTTGCCAAGGACACTGTCCGACGTTGTTATATAGATAAGGTATATGTGAATACTCTATTTTAATTACCTTTCAAAAGTGGGTACGCTCGGACGCTCGGTTCACGCGGGTAATTTTCGCTAGGAGTACCGGGAAGAAACATTATTATATAGGACTCACACAATTTATTACACTGATATTTGCAGAAAAGAAAAACTTGTTCATGCTGCTTAATAGTACAACTTTATTGAAAGGACAACTGTCGGCTGCTGTAATGTAATATATTGAGTGTTGAGTATTGAGATTAAGTTACCGTTGTAGTAGGTTTTAGTAACAATAAATAGTTGGTTTTAGAAACAATAAATATAGTAGGTTTTCGTAACTGTTCTGTATTGCGGTCGGCTGCTGCAATGTAATATATTGAGTGTTGAGTATTGAGATGCTTATATTATATGCTATCGTATAAAAATGGATTTAAAGATCATTTGCTGGTATAAAAAAACTTCAAAAGAAATGAAACAAATTCGGATTTTTGATGGTTTTGAATGCCTTCTAGCGTTCATATTAATGTCCGTTCATAATTATGTCCGTTCATTTAATGTCCGTCCAAATAAGGTCCGATAAGGTAGAACAATAATTAATCTTCCCAAAAATAATCTCAGGGACGAGGTTTTCAACAAAGGCATACTAATTATCCGTAGGAACAACAAACTTCGTTCTCAATAAGCCACCCTGTATTCACATTTTAGAGTTTAGTCCTTTTTCGGTCGGCAATTTAGACTCTATGCTACATAATAAATATAATCAAGAAAATTTCAATTAGTACAAGAATTCGTGACAAGTTGACCTATGTCATCATGCAAATATGTTAGATTATGCCTTCCCTTTCTATTACCAATACTTGTGTTGTATTGTTCAAACATCCTGGTACCCGGCGTGTCTGCAATCAGCACTGGTTGAGATATCTACCTCCAAAATAGTGCAACAATTATTCCTATCCGGTTCTCATCTACAAACTTTAACATTAAGGTTGCTCTACAATCAAACTGCATTCACTTCGGCTGAAATAACCACAAGTACCACTTCTCGGACATATTGTATTGTAAAGAAATGTGTTTGAGATATCCATTACCTAGCTGGGGCCTATCAACTTTATTTAGCGGCTTTTGTATTTTATAAATGATAAATATTACAACAGCTAATGTATCGCGACTAAGAAATTCCCGTGACTTTAGGGAATTTAGGGAATGTGGATGTGCGTGACGTACGACGCACTACATGCGGCTATATTAGTACTATATTCAGTGCTAAATTAATAGTTACTCGTACATCATCTTGGTAAACTAGTGTCTAAGACCTAAGGGACATCTCACATCAAAACAAAAATGTGTCATTTGTCAGTTAAGCATAAGTGTAAGGAATAGTTTTACAACAAAGATCAAAGAAAATGTTCGAATAACCAAGTTGTATGTACTTGTTAATGTGTCTATCTATTGTTTAATATAGCTCTATTGTTTTCCATGATGATGAAGGAACATGAACGAGTACAGCCCTCACATCCGTGTTTGAATGCTGCACATACACTGCTGTACTTAAGTCTCAAAGTTTTTTTACGACAAAGAAAATTGAAACGCTCATTAAGAAAGAACTGATCGAGCAACGAACATCAGCATTAGAAAATGTATATCAAAATGTATAGAAGAACTGATATAAAACTCAAAATATTACTTATGACATAATTGGACAATATTACCGTGCTATTGTAAGAATTTGCATCAAATCTTTTATAGGCACACTGTGGCAAACCCGGAGCATAAATGTGAATTTTATCAGTTAATTTATCAACTTTAACACAAATAAAATATATATACAACATATTACATATAATATAATAGTTTATACTACTGATCTAATAGTAATAAGGTACCCAGCTGTTCCTGCGGGCCCATGTTATAATTATTAAATAATATCATTGTTTAAAATTTACAGTGCAGTTATATTGAATGTTCAATGTAAGTCACGTGAACAATGATCTTGCAGCCAGCTCAACATAATAAGAATTCAAATAAAATATTTAGTGTTCTGTTGCAAATATGGAGAACATGCATAAATTTTATCAGTCTACCACGGGATTCAAACTTTCAGATCGCTTAGTCTAAAGATCCCAAGTGATCCCTGGAAGAGATGTCTCTTGAAGCTGAGTCTTTAGAAACTATGTCTCTTGATGCTGAGTCTTTTGAAACCATGTCTCTTGAAGCTGAGTCTTTTGAAACCATGTCTCTTGAAGCTGAATCTTTTGAAACCAAATCTCTTGAAGCCAAGTCTCTGGACACTGAATCTTTGGAAGCTAAACTTCTAGACCTGGAGACTTTCGACGCCTGCTCCCTGGACACCGAGTTTTTAGAGATAGACCGTTCAACTTTCAATACTGCAGGTCTGAGTAACCTGTTCTTAACATAGTTTCTGAAATTAGTTATCCTACAAAAGTAAACAGCTGGGTTAACCATACTGTTCATACTGACACTCACAACACACACCATGGGCATGAAGTAAGCATTAAAGAAATCACTAGCAGTCGGTTTCAAAGTTCTCCCATTCAAATACTCCATAACAGTGATCTCCTCACTGAGTGTCCACTCACTTACCAGCAGTCTGTACACCAGCGCACCGGAGTAGGGAATGTTAAAGATAATGTAGAGGAGAGTCACCAGTATTACTGTTTTTGCTGCTTCCAGCTGTCTCTTGTAGGAGGTGGCAATGTTGACTGATTTGGTGCTGGACTTCTTCAGATAGTACAGTGAAAGAGTAAAACTGATGCTGATTGGTACGATTGAAGCTGCTGGTATGATGTTGTAGATAGTTGTAAACAGCAGGCCCTTATCCAGATCTTGTTGAGTCAGTGTCCTGTTTAAATCAGCCCCGGGGGTAAGTGCAGTAAAGGTGCACCCCAGCCACTCTTTAATGTAAACCCCGTGCATCACCCCGGACACCAGCAGAGTTATACTGGTGGTTACAAGAGCAAATAAACAGAGCGCTGGCAGAATAATGGCTAGACTGGGGTGCAACTGCCTGGTGGGTTTCACCAGGACAACCAGTCTGGAAACACTCAGCACCCCCACCATGTAGATTGAGAGTTGGGGTAATGTGCTCCAAATAGTGGCCCACATTCTACAAATTGTTTCGTTCTTGAACAGTGCACCCTCTCGGTTGTCTGACAGCGCTGCATTTATAACAGGAATCACTAACACACATATAGCGGTGTCTGTTATGGTAATCACCATGTAGAGTCGTTGGAAGAACAGGGCGTTGTTACTCTTTGAGATCCGGGTACGAAAGTAACAAAAACTAATGATGTTGTTGAAGGTACCCACCAGGGATATAACTATGAGGAGGGTTCCGATGAGGTAGTCATAAGAGAATGTCATCACACTGAAATAGAGTC